GTATACTCTGAAGGAAGAAATGTCTTGTTTATAGGAGATAAGAATGGTAAAATGCAAGGACCGCGTTGTCAATTCTGTACGACTGAAAGGTCTGTTTATTGTCAGAATGTTTTTAATAGATGTAACATGCTATCAGCTAATGTTCAGACTAAGCGCACATGGTCACGCTTTACTTTTCCCCCCAGGGACTAGCAACTGTACACTAATAGATCACATAATTGTTGAATCAAGTATATTTGATCTATCGAAACTGTGTCCATGTTTGAAAAGTGTGATTCAAATCTGTCAGAACATGTTCCCGTTTTGTGCTCGTTACATGTACCAGTAATGAAACCAGTTTTTTGAAATTCAGTTGGAAAGGGGTTTTGACCAATATTGTAATCTCTGTATGTACCAGAGATCACTATGTGAAGAACTCTCTAATATCAAACAGCTTGAGGGTGACGTCAGTCAGGGACAGATAGATAAATATTACATGAAATTATCTCTGCAATAATTTCAGCTTCAAAGGAAAATATTCCCGAATCAAAATATAGAAAATATTTGAAACCTTATTGGAACAAACAATTAAACGTCATTCATCAGGACATGTGGAATTTTAGGTGAATCTGGGTGAATGAGGGGAAGCCCAGAGGTGGCACTTCCGATATTTTCATTAAGTATAAGAATGTAAAAGATGTGTTTAGTAAATACGACAAGCATTTGATAGATACATGGCTGATCTGTTGATAGAAATTGATAAGTCAGGCGAGGTATTTGTTCAAGGCTAAATCTGTCAAGCGTAAACAGACGCAAAAACGGAAGTAAGATGTGAAGGGTTAACTACAGAGATCCCACAATTATCACTGAGAAATGGGCTGACCACTTTGAGGAGTTGTGAAAAGGCAAACCAAACCCTATGTTTGACTCAAATTTCGAAACAGAAATTTTGAGAAAAATAGATGTAATCGAAAGAACGACTCTTAATGATGGGGGTCAGTATTTGAATAGGCCAATCACTGAATCAGAGGTTAAGGATATTTGTTGCAAGTTAAAGACCAATTAAGCAGGAGGGTTTTATAATATAGTCTATGAACATTTAAAATATGGAAATATGCTATTATTTCGTCATTTGTCATATCTATTTAATCTAGGAAGCAAATATTATATACCAGGCGGCTGGAAAAAAGGCGTAATTGTAACTATACACAAAGGTAATGACATACCAAGAGATGATCCGAACAGCTATCGCGGAGTCACTCTCCTGCTGGTCATTTTTAAGATATTCGGAATGTTATTAATGAAAAGATTGGATCCTGTCCTAAACTCTAGCTCCTTTCCGAATGCCCAGCAGTCTGCCTACCAGAAAGGCTTGTGTAGTATGTTGACGTCATTTAATCTACAAGAGTGCTTGAATTATAACATTGAGAGAGGAGAAGATGTTTATGTAAGTTTCCTTATTAGTAGTAAAGCCTTTGATTCGGTGTGGCACGCTGGCTTGTTACAAAAGTTGTATAAGTTGGGAGTGAAATCGAAACTGTGGATGTTAATGAAAGAAATTTATACTAATGTAACCAGTTCTGTAATAAGTAATGGCATCCATTCCAGATGGATAGGGATAGAGAGAGGGATCTTACAAGGGAGTGCTCTATCGGCAAAATTGTACCTAGTGTTCATTAATGGTCTCTTGAATGAACAGTGTAGGAAAGGGGCAGCCATTGCAGATTTGAGGGTTAACATTCCCACTCAAGCAGATGACATCTGCCTGGTGAGCACTAAACATATGGACTTACAAAATATGTTGCAGTTATGCGAAACATACAGCAAAAACTTCCGAAAGTTGACGACGTAACACACATTGGATTACTGTTGAATAATAATTTAATAGTTTTGAACGCAATCTTCGTGCGTGTAACAAGCTTCCTAATGAGTCTGATTCGCTCGGGCTGTCACCCTAGTGTTTTAAACCCTCTTACTACCGCTAAAGTGATTAAGACAAAAGTATATGTTTCAGACTTATATGGCTGTGAACTCTGGAATCTTACAAACACAAAATTAGAAAGGGCACAGCATTTTATTGTCAAATCAGTTCAAGGTTTTGAGACTCGAACAAGAACCGATATGTGTACCAGCCTTCTGGGTTGGACGAGTATAGAAGGGTTTATAGATACTAGAAAGTTGCTATTTTTCGGTAGGCTTTGTGAGATTAGATAATAAGACACTCTCGTCTCGTATACTGTATACAAGATTTTTTATTGTAAATCTGTCCGAAGAAAATAATGTTAGGCATGGTTTTGTATGTGATATAATGAGAATTTTAAGGAAATTCAACATGTTAGGACCAGTTTTAGAGTATTTAAATGAGGGGAAGTTTCCACTCTAATCACGCTGGAGGGTTCAGGTAAAACATGCTGTGCATGATTACAAAGAAAAAGCCTGGTTAAGCAGGATATGTAATAATTCTTACTTTTCTAGATTTTTCAAGTACATGACAAGTTGATGCCACATCCGATGTGGAAATTATGTGTAAAGTTCCCGGAAAACAGGGAGGCTGTTCATTATATTATAAAATTAGTTGTGACCATGCGATGGTTAGATCATAATGAATTATGACATAAGAGCGGTCAGTTGTATTATGACGTTGTCATTCATAAAGTGTTACATTGTAGTTCAACTGAAGAATTAAGAGACGAATTATGGTGCGAAATTATTAATATTAGTGACATTTTGTTTAGTGTATATTTGCACACCTTAGAGGAAAGTCGAATATTTTATGTTTTGATTGAAGGAAACTTATCTTATGACTTATGTAACTCCGACTTGGAAGAGTTCCGGACGAAATCAGTCAGGATAATCTTTCGAATGATGACGTCATATTACAAATGACATATTAAAAACAGTTGATTAATCAAAAAGGTTTGACGTTGTCAGCATAAACATCTACGTTATCATTGTAATTTAATGTGTATAACAATATTGTAAATATTGCGATTTAATGTGTACAACAATATTGCAAATATTGCGATTTAATGTGTATAACAATATTGTAAATATTGCGATTTACTATGTCTAACAATATTATAAATATTGCTATTTAATATGTATAACAATATTGTAAATATTGCGATTTAGTATGTATAACAATGTATTTATATTGAATGCATTTGATTTTCTCTAATTATTGCAATCTTCATTGTGGAGTAAAATAAAGAGTATATGATCAACGTTATGTTCAAAAATGCAATTTTTCTATGCAAATTTCAGTTAAGTTAATTCCCTCCTCCCAAGAATGCTTGAGGCCAAATTTCACGAAAATTTGATAATTCCTACCGGAACTGGGATTTTAAATTTAAAACTAATAAGCCCTGCTCCTCTGGCCCCTCCGGAGGCAAAACTGATCCCCCTTTACCAAAGAATGTGTCGGACAAAATTTAGGAAAAATCCAATCATTCCTAAAGGAGGAGTAGGATTTTGAAGAATCTGCTGTGTTTCCCTTAAGCCCCAGGGTGCCAAGACCCACCATTTATCAAAATGTGTTACTTTTCCCCAAAGAATGATCCTGACCATATTTTGTCAAAATCAACCTTCTCGATTAGAAGCGATTTGTAAAAAAAAGTTGATGAAAGGGGGCCCACTGCAGAGCATAAGCACAGCAAACCTTTGGACCAAGTGAGCTAAAATTCAAGGAAAGTAGTTCAACAATTCCCAACTCTTGAATTATGAGTCTGATTTGTGGGGATAATTCACGTAAAAAAATTACTGTAACCTACCAGAGACTCACAAACTGTTGATACAATCAATTGAGTTATGCCATCAAAAGAAGTAACCCATATGTGAAATTTACACAGAATAAAGAACCCTATTTCATTTTATATATAACAAAGTATATAAGAACACAAACATCTATGATATTTTATTATGCTGGGATTCATTTTACATTGAATTATGTCCTACTTTCTGTGCAACATTCTTACAATCCTTAAGAAGGTCCTGATATTTATAGACCATAACCGACCAAATTCAGGCAAAATGGTCACAATAATGTTGTTCTGTGAACAAGCATGAGACATATATTTTGCATAGGAACTTGACTTACTTTTTGTTTTGCTGCTAGAAAGATAGGTTTGGAAGAACAAAATAAATTAGTTACAATCAGTTGTCATGGCATTGTCATGCTGTAAACAATTAAAAGTCAGGATTTTTCTGGCTATGTATATCATATCAGGAGAAACAAGAAATGACAACAGACTCCTGACATTTTTAGTTTAGATGCTGATTGGTCTACATTGCATAACATGTTATTCTATTTGACATTGAATTGCACTCTGCAGCAGTGGAGAAACACGTTATTGCACTCTCATGCAAGAGATCTATGACATCACTTAATTTCAACCAATTAGATGAGTCCATCTAGTTGCTCGAGTGCATGATATAATGTCATATCAAACAGTACCAAGCAGTATTAATGACACTGTGATGAATAGCATGGAGTAAGATGCAATTTTAATGGCAGGGGATCATACGTTAAGCATTTATGTGTATATGAACATTGAAGACATCATAATATGAAATACCGTATTCAATCCAATAAGTGCCCAGGGCACTTAAAAATTGCAATTAAGGGGGGGCTTATGAGAGACCATCTTAGATGTAAAAGAAACACATTCAGTACTAAAACATCTACTGTACAGTTCATGTTTTTATAAAATCACTAGTTTTTTTACATGCAATAAAATAATCTTAGACCATCTTAGGTATAATTTTTTTTACGTTTTTCAGGAGTACATCTCCTTATAAACCAAGTTAAAGCAATTCTTGATTGTGACTTAAAGGTAAGTAAATCTAGACTTTTAGGTATCTGAAGGGGGGAAGGGGCGCTTATAGGGATATGGGTTGAATACGGTAGTTCTACCTAAGAGCCAGCACAAAGTCATCAATACTATGAGATGCAAATTAGCTTGGTCCTTCAGTTATATATATAAAAAAATGTGTTTTTGTATTGTTTCAAACAAAAGACAGCATTTGATGCGTAAATATTGGTTTTATTTAAGACTTTCATGTGGATTTCCATCTCATATAGGATTTTCCCATTAATTTTAAAACTATAACAATTAACATACATCATGTGTATAACAGAATGTACAAAGCCTTGTAATAAATGACAACAACTGTAATAAATATTTGAAAAGCATTCAATGTCTATTGCACAAACCTTACAAAATTAGTACTTAAAAAAAACGTAAAATATTAAACTATGGATTCAGGCATGAAACTTATAGGAATAAAAAGTATTGCTGAACTACAGATAAATGAAATAGGGAATCATTATTCAAGTGAAATAACAAACAAGGCTGATGATCCTTTCAAAGCAAACATCATAAGCAACCTCAGATAACATATATTATTGCCATAATGTCCATGCAAAGTTTTCCCAACCTCCTGGATATAGTGTACCATATAGAGCTGTTATGCAGTGCAGCTATTGCAAAAATCTCCCAAATGTACCTTTTGAAATTTTTGTGTTTATCCTTTTTTTTTTTTTTTTTTGAGATTTCTTCCTCACAGAAATTTGTAAGGCCTCTTTTGAAGGCTTTGAATACTTCAGAATGGACATGGCAGACAGAAAAACCAGTGTAGACTTTAACATCAACTGGAGATCTTATTGACCAGTCACAATAGATAACGGATTTAAATATTGACCACTATTTATTTCTTTTAGAAGTATTCAAAATGAGAAAGTTTGCAGGTGCATGCAGGTACATAAACTATACAGATGTATTACTTGTGTGTTTACAAAAGCAAGAAAACATGTATTTTTTTTGTAATATTGAAAGAATCACGAAATTTGCAAAAAAATCACAGGTATCATTTAAAGACAGTGTCTTGTGTTGAACACACACAGGTAAATCAAGGTCAGTTCAATACATGTAAGATGTACAAAAAACTACATCAATGCTAATGATCAGAAAGCACTCTTCATACACTGATCACATTGTATCCCAATGTGTAAAAATAATTTGTCTAACATAATCATTGTTTGTATATTCAAGGAATGCCTATATGGTTTTTTGTGATCATTTCATATAAACACTGTGAAAGTGAAATAATTGCAAATGTTAAAAAACTGGCATGAATTAACGAATATACTAGGTGTTGCTGAATTCCCTCAATTGGTTGAATGCCCTAGGACTGATTTATAATTTTTGAGATTCCAGAGAACGTATACTTACAGCTGCATTACAATATCCCCTTCCTATTTTCAATGTGCATGTGTGCCTGCATGAAACAATGAGATTTTAATTGTTGTAGAAATGTTAACCGAACAATTGCAACCATTGATAACAGTAGCTAGCAAGCCAAAGTCATAATGGTGGGAACTACAGTCACAGTCAAGTTTAAGAACAATAGATAAAGTGATGTAAGGAGGTGTAATAGGTGGGCTCATGTATGAGGAGGAATTATAAGGGGGGTTGTGTGGCAGGAGTATGTAGGAAGGGCATATGTTGAGTAAGACTGTCTGACGGGTGTAAATTCTATACAACTACATCATCATAACATTTGACCAAATGCTACTATTAATGCTAATCTTTAACTTTATCACTCACAAACAGGCCACCTGACAAAATACTATACAACATTTGTTCAAACAGATGAAGATATCTTCAAACATGCCATTGGGACAACACTATAAAAAGGAGATCTTATAGGGATCTTGGCATTGGCCATTGTTCAATTTGTATTTTTTATTTTAAAGATTGACCTTTTCACTTCTTTTCTCACCTGTCCAGTTTTTGTTTTTGATCATATGAAATTTCAAAAGGGCACAACCAAAGTATAAGGGTAGCCTATGTATGAAATTTGAGGAATAACCATTCAGTATTTTTCAAGAAATAGTGACAACAAACCTCACAACAGCTGTCTCGCAAATTTAGTTTTCCTGGTTATTCACAAAATCAAAAGGGCACAACTAAAGACCCATGGGGACCAACATACGAAATTTGAGAAAGATCCATTTAGTATCTCTTAAAAGTTGTTTAAGAACTGATTACAGACAGCAGACACATGGCAATTTTTATAACAGCTAAAGTGTTTGTCTCATACCTATTAATTTATATCAATGTCTCATTACAAGCTGGAGAAAGATCACAAGATATAAGGTCTAGAATAAGATATAAATTGTAATATTGATTGCATATATATTTATGCATATATACATATGCATCCAAATGTCTGCTTGTATAAATTTCACTGAAAAATAACCTTATAACTGGATATGCTGGAAGGTCATAAGAAAACAAGAGATCCCAGAGGAATCTTGGCACCCACCATTGTTTGATCTTTATTTGCTCTTTGAAATTTGGAAGTTCTCCCTTCTTTCTCTTCTCTTCTGTTTTTGCTCTTAATGATAAGATATTCAAACATTCCTTTGCAGAAATTAAAATGATAATCTTTACCTGCCAAATCCAAAATGGCCACCTGGAAGCCATTTTGCTTCTTCTGATCATTCCCAAACTCAAACAGGCACAACTTGGGATCTAAGGGAACATAAATACGAAATTGGAGAAAGATCCATAGAGTAGTTCTCCAGCAATAGTGATAACAATCTTTCAAAGTCAAAATTCGAGATGGCTGTTTGTCGGCCATTTTTGTTCTTCTGATCAATTCCAAAATTACATGGGCACAACTAGAGACCAAGGGGAACCTACTTATGAAGTTTAAGAGAGATCCATCTCTAACTTTTCAAGAAATAGCAATAACAAACTTCATTGAAAAAATCCAAGATGGCCTGTTGCCCAATTTTGTTTTATCAGTTCCAAAATCAAACAGGGACCAAGGGGAACCTACCTATGCAATTTGAGAAAGATCCATCCTGTGCTTCTCAAGAAATAGTGATAACAATGATGATGGTGGGCTAAAAATTGATACTAGGAAATAAATTTACAAAACTGTCTGATCCATGGATTTCCTTAGTTAAATCTAATACTGCATTTATCCCAAAATAAGGCTATAGGGCCAACACTTATTTATGCTGAAATAATGCTGCCAACACTTAAAGTAGGAAGGACACGTTACAGATGGATAATAACACAATATTCATTAGCACTTTTACTAAAACTGAAACAGGTGAAGCCAGACTTACTACCAGGAGCGGGTTTATAACAGGATTAAAGTAATTACACTTGTAATCTAGATTTCAGCCTGTTGTAAGCGACAGTTCTTCAAATATAACCATCTTTTTTCCTTCTCACATTTAATGATGTATTAGCACTTGCTCCTAAACCATGTATTTATTGAGACTGAGAAATACATAGATTCATTGGATACTCTTTCTCAAAACGGATAGACTTGATAATGTTTTGTCCGGATGTTGCTATTTGGAAACTGCCCCCGAACGCAGCCACTGACTTAGTGTTTGGAGATTTGATGGAATTTCCATGTCTATTCCTTGTGTACTGTTCAGGTATCTTATTGTAATCTGGGGCTACCATTATACCACATACACTGCACATTTTGCTCACCCCAATAGCCAATTTTGTCCAATCGCCAATTTGAAGAATAAAGTCGAACTTCAAAGAGGTTTTGAGACCAAGAGGAATTTTACCCTTATAAATTGGTTTTACGATATCCCCAGAGACATCATCTATGTAAACTAGTGCTTGCTCTATCCTGAATTCTCCTTGGGGGTTGTGACCTATTTTAGGGTGATCTGGTGTGCCCATTGGAGTAGGAACAAAATCTAATTGTCTTATCTTCATTGGTTGAGTCGTGTAAACAGAAACAGTTTCTAAGCTCTGTACCCCTCTTTCACCCATTAGGCCTAGTTTGACTCCTCCAGACTGAACAAAAGTACAAGTAGGAATTTGCGTTAAAGCCTGTAGATTTACTTCTAAGGGTGGGTACTCTAACCTTGGAGTTTTGATAAAATGTGCAATTGCATCTGGATCAAAGTTCTTTTGTGTGAAGAGTTTATAAAATTTCAGAAGGATATCATCTGTCAGAACTTCTGTTGGAACAACAACATTGGAAAAATCTTCCAAAGAAAGAAGATTAAACCTGATCTGGTACAACATATTCCCTAAAGCTTGTCGACGATTCTCTCCATTAACAGCTTTTTCTGCCTTAGTACACTGTTCATCAGCCCATCGAATTGCAGCATTGAAGATGTTGATTTCAGCGGTCCCAATTCTCTCGCTTTTCAACACCATAGCAAAGTTACCTTGAGTGAGAAAGGTGAAGGATTCCTCTTTGAACACTTCGGCAGCATTGATTTCTAGGAAACTAAGAGCATCTTTGATCAGATCTTCCATCCCAAATAAAGCAGCATGATTAAGGATCGTGCAGACATTTTTCACATTCAATGCACCTTCTAAATAGTTTTCACATTCATGAAGCAATGTCAGTAGCTCATATTTCTGGGATGCATGGAGAAGTGGAATCACGGTTTCGTCATCGATGGATACTTCATCTGAATACACATACCTGAAATGACAACAATTTAAATATTTTTTTTTAATCATTATTAAGATACAGTTCTTAAAAAACCTCAATCTATACTTAATTAGCCCAAGAGCCCAACACAGAATCTTGGACTCTACGGGTTATGTTACTGATTGATGAACTGCTGTTTGTTTAAGGCATTTTTCATACAAACCACCAGACCTATGTATGACTTATTACCAGGCATAGCTGATAGCAATACAATCATGATAACGTTTATCATGTTTTTTTCAGAAAATCAATTATTTTGCATTGATTTTCCTGAAACTGATTTTTTTGCAATGATTTTCCTGAATTCTATCATCAACAACATCCTATTTATTTGTTAAGTCAGATTTATGATGAATTAGTACAGAAATATACAGTCAATTTAAAGTCTACAAACTGTAGAACACATTGCAGTGCTATAGGTATAAGTTCAGAAATAATTCTAAGGTATTTTTCATTAATAATACCAAGACTCTTCATATACATCGTAGAGGATCTTACATAAGGAATTGTCTTACACTGAGTTAATAATACAAGTTTGATAATTTGATGTCATATGAGCTTAAAAAAGTATTATGTATCAACTTATTGAATAAGCAACTTCTTTAAATCTGAAAGCCATTTTTGACATGAGGAAAATTTCTCCTATACGGTTACCTAAAAAACAGGTAAATTTTATAGAGAATTCATGTGTGTGTGTTCACACAGGACCCTCTAGGGCAGCTCCCAGCTCCTAACTATAAGTAATACAGTGATGTTACTCACGTTTTGTGGATACATGTAATGTTTGATAGTCATGCGGGTTCGTGCCAGACTGTCACAGAAGCTCCACGAGATCTCTCAGTGTCCACATCATTTTGGGTTAGTGGTGACAACCAGGGGGGATAATTTCCCCCAGTTTTCACTACACTCCTCCCCCTTTTATGAAGGCCCCCTCTAGAATTCCTGTATTGGGGAAAACTTCTGGAGGATGATCAACTTAGTCTGAGTGGTGACTGACAAGAGTCTTTGGAAGCATCAGTGTTGCTGGACTTCAGGGTGCTTAAGAAGTGAGCACCATTAAGTTTGAGCCTGTGATGAGACACATTTATCTGTGCCTGCAGACTTCTTTTGTTCCAATGCCTATCCTATACTGCTACAACAATTCAATAGCCCTCATAGAGAGGTTAAACAAATCTATGGGATTTAAAGTCCCGGGCTGGATCCCATAAGTTTAATAGTATTGTCCATGATTCTGTAGATTTGTAATTGCAGCTCTATTATTCTATCAAAATAAACTATTTTATTGGAATTCTTGGATTTCTACAAGGTACTCCGTCCTCCCTCTTTCTGGAGGGCTAAAAGTATTTGTAGACATTGACAGGTGAAAAGGCTTCTCCCACCTCATTCCATAGTCTTGAGACAGGAACCTTGGTGCTGGTTCCAACCAAAGGTTCCAATACTAAGATAAGATCCTTAAGGCAAGAGTACACTGCGACGGCAAAAGGGGATCCATCATACTGAACTTAGTAAATGCTGTTCTGCTCCTGTCTAGTAGGCTAGCCCTAATATGGCATGTGCTATAATTCTGTTAATCCCTCCAAGGTTCCATGTTCACAGTCATGGGACTGAGACCTTTATAGGATGATACAAGATAGCTAACACTCTCACAGGTTCTGGTCGTGAGACAGGATTCTTTACAAAAGTGGTTAACAGTGACGGATTTAACCTACTTAGGGGAGAAGATTCCCTGGCTGTGCTAAACAGAAATACCATGGATCTACTCTCAAGGAGTTTAGCCTTATGGCTGGGAACTCTTCCTGCTGTGAGGACTTCGTCCTCTGAGAAAGCCCCACAAGACACTTTTGTGATTAATCCTGTTTTGGCTCTGGCAGCACAGTGGAAACCACATGGAATGTATTCAAAGTAGGCTGATATCATACTTGGGACAAAGTATTAAAGCTAGACTGATTCCCCTGGGAAAGGGTTCCAGTCACTTCCTCAAGAGAGACACTTAATTTCCTCTTCCCACAGTGTAACCGCTTTTTACGTTTTGTAAAACAATGAAGTTGTGGAATGTATCACTTCTAAGTTAGTGCTGGTTAGCGAGCTAGTCAGAACTTTCTAATTTCTAATTCTAAGGTTCTAATAGCTAAGATAAACCTACACTATCGTACCTTCATGGGTTTCCTGTTCCTTCTTACCAAATCTTAAATATTTAAAAACATACATGCCATTAAAAACTATTATCATATTTTTAAGCTCTAAACTTATATCGATTACAATAAAAGAGCTTATATTGATTACAATAAAAGAGCTAATATTAATAACAATAAAAGAACTTATATTGATTACAATAAAAGAACTTATATTAATAACAATAAAAGAACATATGTTGATTACAATAAAAGAACTTATATTGATTACAATAAAAGAACTTATATTGATTACAATAAAAAGAACTTATATTGATTACAATAAAAGAACTTATATTGATTACAATAAAAGAACTTATATTGATTACAATAAAAGAACATGTATTGATTACAATAAAAGAACATATGTTGATTACAATAAAAGAGTTAATATTGATTACAATATAAGAACTTATATTGATTACAATAAAAGAACATATGTTGATTACAATAAAAGAACTTATATTAATAACAATAAAAGAACTTATATTGATTACAATAAAAGAACTTACATTGATTACAATAAAAGAACTTATATTGATTACAATAAAAGAACTTATATTGATTACAATAAAAGAACATGTATTGATTACAATAAAAGAACATATGTTGATTACAATAAAAGAACTTATATTGATTACAATAAAAGAACTTATATTGATTACAATAAAAGAACTTACATTGATTACAATAAAAGAACATGTATTGATTTCAATAAAAGAACATATGTTGATTACAATAAAAGAACTTATATTGATTACAATAAAAGAACTTATATTGATTACAATAAAAGAACATGTATTGATTACAATAAAAGAACATATGTTGATTACAATAAAAGAGTTAATATTGATTACAATATAAGAACTTATATTGATTACAATAAAAGAACATATGTTGATTACAATAAAAGAACTTATATTAATAACAATAAAAGAACTTATATTGATTACAATAAAAGAACTTACATTGATTACAATAAAAGAACTTATATTGATTACAATAAAAGAACTTATATTGATTACAATAAAAGAACTTATATTGATTACAATAAAAGAACTTATATTGATTACAATAAAAGAACATGTATTGATTACAATAAAAGAACTTATATTGATTACAATAAAAGAACTTATATTGATTACAATAAAAGAACTTATATTGATTACAATAAAAGAACTTATATTGATTACAATAAAAGAACTTATATTGATTACAATAAAAGAACTTATATTGATTACAATAAAAGAACTTATATTGATTACAATAAAAGAACTTATATTGATTACAATAAAAGAACTTATATTGATTACAATAAAAGAACATGTATTGATTACAATAAAAAGAACATATGTTGATTACAATAAAAGAACTTATATTGATTACAATAAAAGAACATGTATTGATTACAATAAAAGAACATATGTTGATTACAATAAAAGAACTTATATTGATTACAATAAAAGAGTTAATATTGATTACAATAAAAGAACTTACATTGATTACAATAAAAGAACATATGTTGATTACAATAAAAGAGTTAATATTGATTACAATAAAAGAACTTATATTGATTACAATAAAAGAACATGTATTGATTACAATAAAAGAACATATGTTGATTACAATAAAAGAACTTATATTGATTACAATAAAAAGAACATATGTTGATTACAATAAAAGAACTTATATTGATTACAATAAAAAGAACTTATATTGATTACAATAAAAGAACTTATATTGATTACAATAAAAAGAACTTATATTGATTACAATAAAAGAACTTATATTGATTACAATAAAAGAACATATGTTGAATACATCAAAAGAACTTATATTGATTACAATAAAAGAACTTATATTGATTACAATAAAAGAACTTATATTGATTACAATAAACGAACTTACATTGAATACATCAAAAGAACTTATATTGATTACAATAAAAGAACTTATATTGATTACAATAAAAAGAACTTATATTGATTACAATAAAAGAACTTATATTGATTACAATAAAAGAACATATGTTGAATACATCAAAAGAACTTATATTGATTACAATAAAAGAACTTATATTGATTACAATAAAAGAACTTATATTGATTACAATAAAAGAACTTATATTGATTACAATAAAAGAACATATGTTGAATACATCAAAAGAACTTATATTGATTACAATAAAAGAACATATGTTGAATACATCAAAAGAACTTATATTGATTACAATAAAAGAACTTATATTGATTACAATAAAAGAACTTATATTGATTACAATAAAAGAACTTATATTGATTACAATAAAAGAACATGTATTGATTACAATAAAAGAACTTATATTGATTACAATAAAAGAACTTATATTGATTACAATAAAAAGAACATATGTTGATTACAATAAAAAGAACATATGTTGATTACAATAAAAGAGTTAATATTGATTACAATAAAAGAACTTATATTGATTACAATAAAAGAACATGTATTGATTACAATAAAAGAACATATGTTGATTACAATAAAAGAGTTAATATTGATTACAATAAAAGAACTTATATTGATTACAATATAAGAACTTATATTGATTACAATAAAAGAACATATGTTGATTACAATAAAAGAACTTATATTGATTACAATAAAAGAACATATGTTGATTACAATAAAAGAACTTATATTGATTACAATAAAAAGAACATATGTTGATTACAATAAAAGAACTTATATTGATTACAATAAAAGAACTTATATTGATTACAATAAAAAGAACTTATATTGATTACAATAAAAGAACTTATATTGATTACAATAAAAAGAACTTATATTGATTACAATAAAAGAACTTATATTGATTACAATAAAAGAACATATATTGATTACAATAAAAAGAACTTATATTGATTACAATAAAAGAACTTATATTGATTACAATAAAAGAACTTATATTAATAACAATAAAAGAACTTATATTGATTACAATAAAAGAACTTATATTGATTACAATAAAAAGAACATATATTGATTACAATAAAAGAACTTATATTAATAACAATAAAAGAACTTATATTGATTACAATAAAAGAACTTATATTGATTACAATAAAAAGAACTTATATTGATTACAATAAAAGAACTTATATTGATTACAATAAAAAGAACTTATATTGATTACAATAAAAAGAACTTATATTGATTACAATAAAAAGAACTTATATTGATTACAATAAAAGAACTTATATTGATTACAATAAAAGAATATATATTCAAACAGATGAATAACATTTAAGACTTGAATATGATAGAAAAACATTGCAACTCATTATTCAGTATAATTGTTGTAAATACCTTAGAACAGATGAAAAAATGTCACTAGCAATATCAACAATTTTCACTTCTGGTCCCTTCTCCGGCAAGCTTCCATAGAACATCGTCCTAAACACTGCACTGCGCATTGCCAGGATCAGTCTATGGGCAGGAATCCCAACTTTACCAGGTTCCTCTGGGAATACAAATTTTACATCAGACAGACTGGCATCCAAACATAATGCTGATAAAGACTTTGTCACTGAATCCTGGAACATGTCACCCAAGGGAGTTCCTGCTCCAGTGTCTAAACCTGCCATGACATTTACTGAATGCAGATCAAGCCCTCCATCTAGATGTTTTCAGATAGCGTTCTCCGTCCATTAGTACACCTGTACCAAAAGAAACCAGAGGGATCTTGGTGAACGTTTCACAGGAAAGGGATATTTGATTCAGATTGGATAAGTCTGGTGTATAGATATTTTCAGCTGCCTGTTTGTTGTCCATCTTGTACATCAGAGTCATGCAAGAATCCAAACACCTACATGTATAGCACCTGCCAAACTAAGCCTATGCAATTGGTTCAGCATGTCACCAACACTGGATGTATTTGTGTGATAATTACAATTTTGACCATTCAAGATTAGAGCAATTTGGTTCTCTGATGTACCTGATTTCCGATATAACCTTCGGAAACTTTCGTCACTTTTCATTAGACATCATTTCTTACACGGAAGCAGCCTAAAGGTCCCAATTTGGAGAAAAAACTGTCTGTTTCCTAACTATATTAATTCTGCAAGATGTGGATGTTCTTTCGATAACTTTTTGAAAGTAATTATGATCAAGTATTTGAATGTTTAGAAATTTTCCAGCAAACACTTATAAGGCACAATGATAAGATTACTACTAGTGGTGAATTTTTTTGTTTTTTAGGGAGGGGGAGGAGGGGTGATGGGAAAATGCCACGTTTTGCGTTATCTTGCCCTCTTTTGTTTTGTTCTTCTTTGTCTGCCGTCATGGTGTATGATTGTATGTGCATGACTTACTTACATATGGAAAATTTATTATTTCAAATCACACATGTTGTAAGCATGAGAGGGGTCTAACTTTGGGAGGAAACGTCCTTCGGGGAATGGAACCCCAAACGACTAGGTGAAAGACAAGTGTGTTACAACTATACCACCAAACAATGAATCATGCTGTTCAAAATGTGCATCTTGTTGACCAACTTGAGCTCGCTTTCAGGCAGTGTCTATTCCATGTTACGTTCTCATTATATGACGTCATTATGACAAAATGCGCTGAAGGCTACATGTAAATTGTAACAAAACAAATACTATCTTAATAATTTGTTATTTATATTCACCTAAAATGTAGGTAATGTTTTGGTAACACATACTTATCATTAATACGAGCTGGCACATATATTGCCTGAAGTAACACTTTGTCCTAAACGCAAGATATTACGAAAATCCAGACATATGATGTTGTGTATAAATTATAATAATTGAAAACCACTGTGTATTTAATTACAGACTTTCGCCTTGTGTTTGAGATTCAACGAAAACATACCTTATTCGTTAATCTGTTAGCTGTCATCATGTTGGCTTAGTGTCACCGACAGAGTTCGTCTGCACACAAATTAAAATTATAAACAAACAAATCCAGAAACTGCCCCGGAAATCAAAAGTTGGTGTGTAAATTTAGAGACGTTTGTCGTTGAAAAGTTTCCCGGTTTATCTAACAAAAAGTTTACAAGTAACAACAAGCGTCTCAGTGAAGCGACTTAAAATTATATCTTTTAAAACAATCAACAGATTTAGCAACATCAAAATATAGGTTCTTATTATGCCCATAATGCACATATATACTAAATTTCATATTCATATTTGAATCTAGATATGTAAGTACATGTACTGTAAATATTGAGAACACAACCAGAAACAGATTTTAACCGTGATTAATGTGAATGCTGTATACATTGATGCTAAAAAATCGACACAAAATAAAGAGTTCAAACATCAATCATCAATTAAAACAGAAACAATGTAATAGTTCCATTGGACAAAAAAGAAATTATGTACATAGAACCAAATATACATCAATTATTGGTACTATCACAGAGAATTTTTTTTATTAATTCATTGACAGTTGCTTAGACCATTACGATTCGATGACGAGGGCAATTAAATTAATTGAACTCAGTAAAGTGAGTGGAACTTTTATGAAATGTATTGTCCATAATCTATAGTGACACGCGTTTTCGCGTTTGTTTTTTTATTATTATTATTATTTGTATTTCTTTTTCAATTTTCCCGACTTCGTTCATTGATCTTTTTAAAAAGAAATTTTGTACAATTATGGAAAATTTATTCCTTCTCCATATCATGTTATTTCCATTGTTTTTTAATGTGTATGACCAGGGAAATAGTATTATATCTACAACATGCGATTTTTGGAATGCCATTTTGACGTAATTTTGATAAGCATATATAGAAACGACATCACATGGAAATTGGCAGTGTAGATGAATAATTTTGCATTACTCCTGAAATATTATTCACGAAGCCGTTGTCATATTCAAACTCATTTTTTGTGCATGTGCTCAAGTCTGTGTTCCGGTGAGAACGTACTAAAAATTCCTATTCATCAAACTTCCGGAGAATGTGCTCTGCTGATCACGATTATCAATTGAACCCTTTAATGTTTCGAGATTCTTCTGTACCTCACACGACCTTTAGTTATGAGTAGTTTCATTATTCGGCAATATTGCTTTTAACATATTCATAGTATTACAGCTATATGTGCTCGTATGTAACTTCGTACTCATCTATTTTATTCTAATGCTCAAGTCGTATTCACAGAAATTCTGTGCTCAAAGTTTTGAGCACGTACTCAAATTTTCTTGAGATGTAAACACGAAAACAAATCTCCCAAGCGGAACGACACCCTCTGCTTCACACGTTCCTCCTACATATATACACAAATGACTGTTTAGGGACTCGTACACAAGTACGTTTCTATACTCATCAATCTCGAGCTGAAATTTACATCAATATACGTAAGTAATTTTATTAGTGTTCAATTTTATTCGTTGCAGTTATTAAGATAAAACTGTACATGTACTGTATATCGACAAAAAGTGCCGAATTGGGGAAATAGCAAATTTCTGTCTGTAAACACGTATACAGGTCAACACCTTATATGTAAAGTACAGCATTGAAATGTACGATCAGCCAAAGGAGGGCTCATGCTTGACGGGACCCTATTAACAGTGACTGGTAGCAGTCGGTATGAAGGGAACAGGCGAGATCGAGATGCAACCTATGCAACGTTAGAATGCAAACGAATGTTTGATAGTTTTAAGGAATTAGATAATTCTTATTATAACATTGTGTGGACGGTAAACAGTTGTTTGAAATTTGTCATAAGTGATCAACTTAAACATATCTATTGTCAACGCTAGAACAATGGATGAGGCACCAGTTATATACATTTGTATATGTAGACAATTTCTGCTATGGAAACATGCAAATATAGTTATTACAATTATTCAAACAATTTGTTTTCTAAACTTAATGAAGGACAGATGTTTGAATTAAGGTGGGGATTTCTGAACAAAATTGGATCCAAACTGAACACAACGTTCAAAGTAGTGACATTATAGATCAAATATTCTTTTACTTGGAATAAAGATAACACAAAAAAGAAGTGAAAGACGTTTTCACACGAAAAAAAAAACCGAGAAAACAAAACATTATTTACTGGTGAGTTTGATTGAAATCAAACAGACGACTCAAGGGTAAGGAAGCCTGGTAGCATTGTTTACATCTTCTAAGCACTGATAAGAAATTTATCGTAGTTTGTTCCAGAATTTCAATATTCCGAAATTATATACCGTGGTACCACTGTAGTCCAAACTACAAAATTGTATCAGTATTTTCAAAATAACTCTCAACGTTGGTGACTGCTGTTTCGATTAATAAGACACGATTGTTAGGTAGACAGTTATATGTTGGACGTTGTTTATACTATTCTCTAGTTTGTCTACTCAAAAGGAAATAACTTCCTAACTGAAATAGTATAATTCATGTATGTACCACTTTAACTATAACCCACAGAAGTAAGTGTCAACGACTATATCACGTAAGTAGCTAAAGACCTCGTATATCGAACACACGATATGATTTTCCTGGCATATATTTGTATCGGGCGGTTATGCAGCATTGAACTGATGTATTTTGACACCCCTTTCTCCCTCCAATAGTTTCTTCTCTTCGTTTCACTCTGTCAGTTCAGCCAGGGGATGGGAAAACGGTAAGCTTGACAGTTGATGGGGCCATGATTAAACCAATGGACTGTGACAAGGTTTCGGATCTGAACATAGAGGCATAAGGCCTGCGTTCAGTAACTACTAAGCTATACTAAGCTAAGCTACTAAAGTAAGCTAAAAAAAGCACATATCTGGACTAGCTATATCGAGTCAAAGGTGTGTATTCCAACGGATAAATCACAATAACTGGACAAAGAAATAAACTACGACATTTGCACTTTCTTGACCTTTTATTGAATGGTGTGAAGTATTTTTTTACTAGATATAGCAAACCACTCAAGGTTCACTTGGAGTATCTAATGTCCTCTCTATATAATAAGACACTTGGATATCTACGGAAGCGTATTCCGGCCAAGTTGTGTTTTATTTTATCTCGAAATTTCGAGTTGGTAATTCGAAATTTCGAGTTAGTAAGCCGAAATTTCGAGTTCGACTTACTAACTCAAAATTTCGAGTTGCTATCTCGAAATTTCGGGTTAATATCTCAAAATTTCAGATTACTAACTCGAAATTCCACGTTACTAACACAAAATTTCGAGTTAAAATAAAACACAACGTGGCCGGAATACGCTTCCGTAGATATCAGTACTAATACTATAGAAATGAGTTTTAGGTCAGCAGTTACATTCCATTTCGGTTTCCAGGGAAATCTTAATTTCAAAATATACATGCATGTTTAAAAGTTACTAATGCTAATGAAATGCTAATCTATATGTACATCGATGAGAGCGCCATCTGTCACGATCCTCGCATGCCTTGATTTTTATCTAAATGTAACATCAACACTCTGTTTTGATTTTATGTATGGAAACGGGATTGTCAGTTTGAATGACTTGATAAGATTTTTAACTCATATTTTACTAAATACATTAATTAATTCAATTATAATTAAATATGATTGTCAGTTTTGTTAGCGTAACTATATATATATTTGTTAGTCGCAAATGGTATTATTTTAAGTATGTTTTTGTATCTCTGTGTTTTATAACAAGCCCTATAAGTTATCGATCGCTTTCATGATCCTCTGGATTCGGCTAAGATGAAGTAACGTTGATTTCCGTTAAAATGAGAGATAACAGTAAAAACATAGGTTTCAAAGCCAATAACTTGTAGTTAATGCTTCATTCTTTGATTGGTATTTCAGTCCGCCATGCTTTTAACAATCCTCGGGGTGATGTTGTTGATCATCATACTTAAAATGATTATAAGAAGATTCAAGCTCAAAAACATCCGGGGTAAATATGTCTTTATCACTGGATGTGATTCAGGATTCGGAAAGCTACTGGCCACCAGGCTGGACACCCTCGGAATACACGTCTTCGCCGGGTGCTTTACAACAAAGGCTTTGGAATATTACATGAAAAACAGCAACTCTATCAAGGCGATAGCTCTAGACGTGACCGACGTGAAAAGTATCGAAAACGCGTATCAGGTAGTGAGGTCTACCCTGCCTGAAAATACAGGTAAATGTGTACAAGGCATTCTAATGGTAAGTTGTTTTCAACAAATACATCTTTGTAAAGGTGAAATTGCCTTTGTGTGAAATATATGTGTGATTATTTTCATTCATATATTATTATGTGGTATTATGATACTGTCTGTTCATGTTTGATGTTTCCGTTTGATTTTGTTTTTATGTCTCGTTGCTATGGTTATGATATCTCACCTGATATTTGCTATGGAATTTCAGGCCCTGCTATGGTATAATTATTCTGGTTAATCCCTGTTATGGTATAATTATTCTTGTCAGTCCCTGCTATGGTATAATCCTTCTTGTTAGTCCCTGTTATGGTATAATTATTCTTGTCAGTCCCTGCTATGGTATAATTGTTCTTGTCAGTCCCTGGTATGGTATAATTATTCTTGTTAGCCCCTGTTATGGTATAATCATTCTTGTCAGTCCCTGTTATGGTATAATCAATCTTGTTAGTCCCTGCTATGGTATAATCATTCTTCTTAGTCCCTGTTATGGTATAATTATTATTGTTAGCCCCTGTTATGGTATAATTATTATTGTTAGTCCCTGCTATGGTATAATTATTCTTGTCAGTCCCTGTTATGGTATAATCATTCTTGTTAGCCCCTGTTATGGTATAATCATTCTTGTCAGTCCCTGCTATGGTATAATCATTCTTGTTAACCCCTGTTATGGTATAATCATTCTTGTCAGTCCCTGTTATGGTATAATTATTATTGTTAGCCCCTGTTATGGTATAATTATTCTTGTTAGTCCCTGTTATGGCATAATCATTCTTGTTAGCCCCTGTTATGGTATAATCATTCTTGTCAGTCCCTGTTATGGTATAATCAATCTTGTTAGTCCCTGTTATGGTATAATCATTCTTGTTAGTCCCTGTTATGGTATAATTATTATTGTTAGCCCCTGTTATGGTATAATTATTCTTGTTAGTCCTGCTATGGTATAATTATTCTTGTTAGCCCTTGCTATTGTGTGATTCTTCGTGTTAGTATGTTGTGATATGATATTCATTTCCTTTGTTTTTGCATGTGTTGTACTTGTGTTTGTCCCGGCTATGGTATAGCTTCACCTTTCCCTTACTATGTTATGATGATTCCCGTTAGCCTGGCTATTGTGTATTGTGTTTGCCCGAACTGTGGTTTGCTTTGTACCGATTGCCCTTGCTTTAGTATGGTTTTTTCCCTGTTCTGACCTGGATTTTCCTGTTAGCTCGGCCATGGTATGGTTTGTACCGATTGCCCTTGCTTTGGTATGGTTTTTTCCCTGTTCTGACATGGATTTATCTTTTAGCTCGGCCATGGTATGGTTTGTACCGATTGCCCTTGCTTTAGTATGGTTTTTTCCCTGTTCTGACATGGATTTTTCTGTTAGCTCGTCTATGCTGTGGTTTGTACTGTACGCCAAAACTTATGGTCCACTATGTTTAGATTTCTTGTGTACTAAAGTCACAACCTTTTTCTGCTCACGTGACCGACCTCTAAAGACAGGTTTGACTGTCGTTTTTATTTTATGGTATTTTCTATCATATAATTGAATGTCAGCTGTGTCCCAGTTTTAAATGACGTAGGTATGACACAGCTGTATCATCTGTATATTGTGTGATTTTGTTGGACAATAAACAGCTCCCGTAAATCTACGGTATAGGGTGTACGGTATCTAACTCCTGCACAATATGTAGGAAACTTACCGAGTTTGTAATATTTGTAGGCTTATGGGCACTTGTGAACAACGCAGGAACTCTGGGACACTTCGGACCTGTGACATGGCTATCAGAAGAGGATTATCAACGTCCTTTGTCCGTCAATCTTTTTGGAATGGTTAGAATGGTTCGAACCTTTCTCCCAATTGTCTTGAAATCTAAAGGCCGAATCGTCAATATGACCAGTGGTTCCGGAAAGATAGCGGCATTAAATGTGGGACCTTACAGTATTTCTAAATTTGCAGCTGAAGCATATTCTGATACCCTCAGGTAACTATAGAATATTTTTAGCGAATCTGCGCTACATCTACAACTATATCTGGGTAAATACTTATTTCTTGTCCAGTAACACTTGTGGGCAGTTACTGAAATAATCCCCTGAAAAACTTGTATTATCACAATATTACACTAATTATCTTTTGTCATGGACCTTTCAATTTCACAGACAGACATTATATTGATAATTCAGTATGACAGCACTATTTCCATTTTATCACATGGAGGCGTACATGAACATATCACGTTAAACAATATAAAACCCTTTACTTCCAGGAGAGAACTTTACAAGACTGGAGTGTCGGTTCATATAATCGAACCTGGCTGCTTTAAAACGGGTTTTACAGATATGGAACTTATCACAAGAATTATTTCCGGAAACTTTGAGAAACTAGACGATGAGATGAAGACATTTTATGGCAAGGGATATATCGATAAGAGTAAGCCAACATTTTTCATGAGTATTTCTAACAAGAATATAGAAATATTTGCTTTATGGAGAATTTAAACCGATTTTTTTCTGTGATATCTGTGGTATAGACAAAATAAACTTATTTCTTTGATACGGAATGACGCAGCTTCACATATTTGTATAAAAAGGTTATGGCCTGATAGTTCTAGTTCCCTAATATTTATGTATAGGGTTATTGCCTGATAGTCCTAGTTCCCTAATATTTATGTATAGGGTTATGACCCGATAGTTCTAGTTACCTAATATTTATGTATAGGGTTATGGCCTGATAGTTCTAGTTCCCTAATATTTATGTATAGGGTTATTGCCTGATGGTTCTAGTTCCCTAATATTTATGTATAGGGTTATGGCCCGATAGTTCTAGTTCCCTAATATTTATGTATAGGGTTATGGCCTGATAGTCCTAGTTACCTAATATTTATGTATAGGGTTATGGCCTGGTAGTTCTAGTTACCTAATATTTATGTATAGGGTAAGGCCTGATAGTTCTAGTTCCCTAATATTTGTGTATAGTGTTATGGCCGGATAGTTCTAGTTCCCTAATATTTATGTATAGGGTTATGGCCTGGTAGTTCTAGTTCCCTAATATTTATGTATAGTGTTATGGCCTAATGGTTCTAGTTCCCTAATATTTATGTATAGTGTTATGGCCGGATAGTTCTAGTTACCTAATATTTATGTATGGGGTAAGGCCTGATAGTCCTAGTTCCCTAATATTTGTGTATAGTGTTATGGCCGGATAGTTCTAGTTCCCTAATATTTATGTATAGGGTTATTGCCTGATAGTCCTAGTTCCCTAATATTTATGTATAGGGTTATGACCCGATAGTTCTAGTTACCTAATATTTATGTATAGGGTTATGGCCTGATAGTTCTAGTTCCCTAATATTTATGTATAGGGTTATTGCCTGATGGTTCTAGTTCCCTAATATTTATGTATAGGGTTATGGCCCGATAGTTCTAGTTCCCTAATATTTATGTATAGGGTTATGGCCTGATAGTCCTAGTTACCTAATATTTATGTATAGGGTTATGGCCTGGTAGTTCTAGTTACCTAATATTTATGTATAGGGTAAGGCCTGATAGTTCTAGTTCCCTAATATTTGTGTATAGTGTTATGGCCGGATAGTTCTAGTTCCCTAATATTTATGTATAGGGTTATGGCCTGGTAGTTCTAGTTCCCTAATATTTATGTATAGTGTTATGGCCTAATGGTTCTAGTTCCCTAATATTTATGTATAGTGTTATGGCCGGATAGTTCTAGTTACCTAATATTTATGTATAGGGTAAGGCCTGATAGTTCTAGTTCCCTAATATTTGTGTATAGTGTTATGGCCGGATAGTTCTAGTTCCCTAATATTTATGTATAGGGTTATTGCCTGGTAGTTCTAGTTCCCTAATATTTATGTATAGTGTTATGGCCTAATGGTTCTAGTTCCCTAATATTTATGTATAGTGTTATGGCCGGATAGTTCTAGTTACCTAATATTTATGTATAGGGTAAGGCCTGATAGTTCTAGTTCCCTAATATTTGTGTATAGTGTTATGGCCGGATAGTTCTAGTTCCCTAATATTTATGTATAGTGTTATGGCCGGATAGTTCTAGTTCCCTAATATTTATGTATAGTGTTATGGCCGGATAGTTCTAGTTCCCTAATATTTATGTATAGGGTTATGGCCTGATAGTTCTAGTTCCCTAATATTTATGTATAGGGTTATGGCCTAATGGTTCTAGTTCCCTAAACAGGCAAATTCCAATTTGGGTTTATCTGTACAGTATACTGAACCCAACCTAAACATTGGAAATATAAATGTGTAAGAACATTCGTAGCAAACGAATTTTGAATGTTTTAAACATACTACCAAAATGGTACAGGATAGAATTTGTGACAAAAGAAAAATATTATTTTTTTACATTCCATAACACTCTAGTCAATAATCTAGTAAGTAATATTGACGGTATGGTCCAATATTGGTACTGGATCCTAACAAACAATTGTTCGTTTGGTGCGTATTACTGGAATTGTCAAATTTCCGAGGCAATATGACCCTTTAACAAGACACAAAATATCACATCAGTTAAATATTTTGTAACTTTGTCTTTGCTTTATGTTCTATGTATGTGTAGTTTATTTTTTTGGTTCCGAAGTTGTATACATTTTTATTGTTGATAAAGTGACATCATTTACTTGGATAGACCAAGAATTATTTGGCGGGTGTTGTCGACGAAGTAGAAGACACGTACTCTTCCGAAACACCTGGTCTTGTTCTCCTTGTACGTTTTCAGGAATCTCCGTGTAACTTTTGTCTGTTGTGAATTTGTGTTTGATTTTTATTGTGTTGACATGTTGGTATTTTCTGGATGTTTTCTCTTCTTTTCAGTTAACTCAACGTTCAGAGATACGATTAAGAGTTTCGAGTCATCAAAACTCCACAAGGTGATCGATGCTTATGAACATGCGGTGACCGCCCGATTTCCCTTGACACGATATGTTGTTGGCTATGATTCCAATGTGTTGGTATTTCTGAACACATATTTCCCCGAATGGCTGATGGACTTTCTTGCTTGTGTAATGTCTCCTACACCAAGTGGAGGAACATAGCCTTTTCAGATTTGGAAGATTTCAACATTTACGTTTGTTTTCGATCTTTATTATTTCTAAGGAAAGAGGAATGCATGAGGAAGAGCGATCTGGTCTGGAAGAGAATTAAAATGTACATTCCTTTTGTGTTTTTTTATCAGGGAATGAACCCACCTTGGTTTCAAGGCTACTTTTCAATTTGGCCACACATTATACTGCTGAATAAAAAAGTTATGAAAATGTATATATGTTCCTAAAGTTTTTATGTGAATTCCAATGAAGAAATTTATACTTTATCACACAATTTTTATATGTCCTGTGATGATTGGATATGTCCTGTGATGACTGGATATATCCTGTGATGACTGGATATATCCTGTGATGACTGGATATGTCCTGTGATGACTGAATATATACTGTTATGACTGGATATATCCTGTGATGACTGGATATATCTTTTGATTATTGGATATGTTTTTTATTAGACTACAGTATTAGACAATAATAAGCGACTAGACATAATTATCTCCCTTTCCATATGTGTTCTCTCTATTTTTAATGGTCTTAATGCCAAAGCAGTACTCCATTGAGAATTAATCTCGAACCAGGTAGAGAAATCAAGGCGAAATATAGAATCGGTTAAACATGATTATCTGAAATTTAAGTTACAGTTTTCAATCATATTCTATAATAAGGAAAAGCAGTAAGTTTCATACCAAGATGCAGAACCTCGTCCTATTCTCGCGAGAGTGAATGAGAAAAAGACATCTTAAGCTGTTCTTCCGGTTCACAGATATTTACATAGACAAAGTACTTAAATCCATGTCAGAATGCATTTTGCAAATTGTACTCTCTTTGAACATATTGTTGTCGTTAATTCAGTGAAAACTACATTCTGCTTACACTTAACGTACTCCGACATACAAAAATAGGAATCCGGTCACATGAGGGCAGCAGTAAACAACAGCAAAACGGGCAGCATAAGTTTGATTTTTGTCATCATTACATGTTTTGAAAAAAATGATAAAAATACTATTGTGAAAGTGAAAAATGTAAATTTTGCAAATTGAAAATGTGATCATTTAAAGAAATGTAATAATCTTATGCATTTTTATCAGTAAAGTAGTAATATTTCGAAATTAAAAAACTAAAAAAAATATGTTCTTGCACGCAAAATACCAACCTGCCAGAACATGCCATACCAGTCATATTTCGCTATAAAAAAATCGTATTCACTCAAAGGTACAGCCGAAAACAATCATTAAAAAAAAATTTCACCTAATTTAAAGATGTCTGTGGCAGGTAAGATCGCCTCGTGCATTAATGTCGCCATGTTCGTTAGTCTGTAATACCGATCTGGATACGAAACAAGGTCAACACTGGATTGTCGTATACAGACGGAGAAAGAAGTAAAGAGTATTACAATCCGTTTTGATTACCCCTCCCCATCCCCTTTCACGACGATTTCGTTAACTTTTTAAACAGTGTATAACGTGGACATTATTCGAATACAGCAACTCAACTATCTAGTGTGTGGTCAGCACTGTATATTTTATTTCGTACACAGAGAAAGAGGGATGTCGATGTCTAACTTAACGGAAATTCTCAGAAAAGATTTCGATGCAAACAGATATCTTGTAGATAGTTTCGCTCAAAATCAGTTAAGTGGTAAACAAGTTTAAGGGGAATACAAAAAAATGATGTTCTATCAGACCTTGAAAATACAGCGTGCAACAATGAGTCGATTGGTCATCGATGCTATCCTGTTTAGCACGGGTTCTTTACAGTTTCCTGACAATTGTAAACATTATGGGGAACCCGTAGCCATCATAAGAATATAACTGAATACTGGATAAGTTAACATTACACATTTTGAGGACAAAAATGCCCCCCCCCCCATTTTTAAAAGTAAAGTTTGCAAATAAGAAACATCAGATATTATTTTTTTGAATGTCAAAAAAAGTAAAAGTTTTTGTCAGAAAATATAAAACATTCATATTTTATAAGTAAGAATTGTAAACTGTATAATGATGCTGAAAGTTTGTCAATAAGTCACCTCTGACTTTTGGTGACACATATATTGACCTTTGACACATCTTTGCATTGTAATGATATCCAAATGTACAGTATGCAATATTAATTGATATTAATGGCTAGTCTGACCTGTGATCTTGGTGACCTATACATTGACCTTTGACCTGTATATGTTATTTCTTAATACGCGCAATCAAATAACTTTGAAAAATGATGGGAATGGATGACAGTTGTCATTTGACGTATGGATCTTTGTTGTGCAATCAAATTGATAAGCATTGTTGATTTTTATATTCATTATACTATTTAACACTCATGTTAAAGTTGACAAATGACTAGATTCTACTAGTTGTCATATATATATAATATACTGGGATTTCTACGCAAGCATATTCCGCGCGCTTACATCCGGGCCAACAAGAGTAATTAGTATAAGTTGAGAGAACTTGTTTCGCAATTGTTGTAAAATAAATAAAGTTTATATATAAGTGTATTCCGGCCAAGTTGTGTTTTATTTTGTCTCGAAATTTCGAGATTGCAACTCGAAATTTCAAGTTAGTAATCCGAAATTTTAAGAAATTTACCCGAAATTTCGAGATAACAACGCGAAATTTTTAGATAGCAACTCGAAATTTAGAGATAGTAATCCGAAATTTTGATTTAGTAAGTCGAAATTTTGAGTTAGTCGAAATTTCGAGTTATTAAGTCGAAATTTTGAGTTAGTAAGTCGAAATTTCTAGTGACGAACTCAAACTTTCGGGTTGCTATCTCGAAATTTCGGGTTAATATCTCAAAATTTCGGATTACTAACCGTCGAAATTTCTAGTTAAAACAGATTTCTCCTCTTTCTCCGATATCGATAAATATCGATATCATCTGATACCAACGTATGTCACTATTCGTACAGTCATCTTCATCCTTCATTATATTCCCCTGCCTCATCCCTATATTCTTCTAGCCCATCTTCATTTATATCAGATCGATTGTCTCATTTTGACACACCTTTACTGGTGTAAAATATTGAAATGAAAGGGTTGGTTATTACTTATTAACACTTAGATATGTGACTTTTGGTGATATATCTATTGGCGCTAATATACACCTGTAGTGTAATCATACGTGACATATGTTATGTAACCTTCAATTGGACATAGTTGCGAGGGTATAATGAAATTACCACAGCCAAGGCTAATGCCAGGATCACAGTGATCAATGTTAGGGAGTTTTTTTGTTTTTGTTTTTGTTTTTACGAAATTAAAGAGTAGGCAGAAAAGAAATGTTTAATTTCCCACTAAGTATCTACGTATTTACGTACTGATTGCCCGATCTAACATTCAGGTAATCACGAGATCCTTTTCGGCTCCGTTTCCTTTTCAACTCCTTAGATCTGATTCTGATCGTCATTTATATTGTACCAAGACCTTATAATAAATCTATATCCTAAAGATGGCCGTTAGGCTTGAAAACGTTAGCGGAATACATTTGTCGTGTTGATTTAATTCTTTCCAAATATTTTATCGATACACAAAACATCTTTAAGATACATCAATATATATATAGAGAGCTATTACAAGGAGCACTCTAGACAAGTTAAGTATACTGGGAGAAAATTATTACGTTATGAGTAATGAAATCATCTTGATGATCTTCAAAGGGGTGTGCAAGTTTTGTGACTGGTGAACACATCATGTTTTTATTTTTTCTTGAATGTATAAAATGAACGCTGTTCAGTGAAGTTCGGCAGTATTAGACGAACAGACTACCTCAACACCAACTAGGTATGTCTGTCCTTCACTTGAGCCCTGATAACGACAGCGTATTGCTGTAACAATAAAACAATATATATTAAAACCTGGACTTTCTGCTCTAAATATACGCCATACAGTGGTACATAAGTGTGGTGTTAAGTTTTAATCATTCTGTTGAAAGCATATGGTAGGTATATCTTATATGATGATAAAGTTCTTCCGAATTAAGATGTTAAATTAGTGCATCTGCGAAGGTGACAAGCCTCTAAAATACACACAAATCCGTGCTTGGTCCTTCGTGTGTATAATGATTATACAGTTCCCGGCAAAAAGACCCAGTTGTAACTGGCTATTGGTGGGTGCTGTACAAAATACCTATGCGGTTGTGCAAGTATTTTGTGTCGAATTATGATAATCAGAGATGGAGCCCTAATGTGTCCCTTACAGCGCCTTAGGTATGAGCCCGAGTTTCCATCACCCTCACCCATCAAATGTTGTGTTTGTCCACGTGTATATGATGTGGAGTTTTGTTGTAAACTAGGACTAGTGTATGTTTATAGTTTTAACAGCGAGCAACCGCTCGGAACGCCGGGGACACATTAAGCAACTTGTTAAAAACATCTAATTGATATAAATATCCGTTAAAGTTATTAATGGTATTTTCGGGTAAAGTTGGTTTTGATAAACTTAATTAATCGTCAGTAATAAATGGAAATATGTATAAACAAAGGAATTACGAAACGTTTACTTAACGTTGGTCAAAGAGAGATCAAGTCCAACTCAAATGGTACTTTCCGCATTTTTGTATTTCGATTCTACGTTTAGAATGCAATCATTGAATAATAACTTCCGGTTTACGTTGACAGGCATAGGGTACCTTGCCGTAGAACGAGCATCTGTTCATTGACTCCATTCCATCCAGTGCTGAATTGATTGTAAAGTCCCTTAAATATTCAAAAGAAATGGCCGAAGAAGGTAGTTTTGGCGGCGGTGCGTTCACCGTGGATGGTATGTATAATTTCTGCATGACATACTGTTAGCAGTCTGTCGCACAGGTACCCGAGAACTGGATTAATTAATTGATTAACTAAAAAACGACAGTTTATTGACAAGTACCTTTCGTCTATATAGTGTGAAATACGGAAAGTATGTTGATTTATTACCTGTGATGGATTCAACATACGACCGTAGCATGTGTTGTTTGAATACACATTTATCGATGATTCGATAGTGACCGCTAGAACGAAGGTGGGCGAAAAAATTGTCTGAGAAACGATTGGGATCCCCCTACGAGGTAGCGGCGGTTGAATTCGAAATGTTCTTACTTTTCCGTATTTTACACTATAATTAATCCAGTTCTAGGGTACCTGTGGTATGTCGCTGTAAATTGGTGGCTTGGTTCCTTGCTCTTTTGTAATTTTCGAGATTTTCATTCATGTTAAAAAAATGTACCTCCTTACTTATACTTTTCTTTTTCAATTGCTGTTTTGTTCATCCATGGGTTTCGAGGTTCAATTCAACAATATGTTCATGAAATTATTGAAGAAATAATCATCCTTTTGATGAAACTAAACAGTTAGTTGACTCTGGAAATTTAATTATTCAAAATGTATAGTTTTGCACAATTGTTTTTACCCTCATTACTATCTTATTTGGAGGTAAAAACTAATTACTCTGCATGTCTTAGCATCTCTTTGGAAAGAGAGTTTCTGGGTTCACATGACAAGATTCACGAAAATGTATGGGTTTATGGGCCTTTCATACTGGACGAGTAGATAAAGGTATTATTGAGAACAGTTCTGGTTGTGGAATGTCTATGTTAGACTCAATGTCAACACCACATCCAGTAGGAGAGTCTAACTCAGTAGTTCTAGAAAACACATCAGATTGAGCAGACTCTATATTAACACATCCAAGTGCAGAATCTATTGCCGTAGATTTACCAAACGCGTCAGAATGAGCAGGTTCTGATTTTGTTGCCAGCTCAGATGCAGAGGTCTGAGCATCTACTTCAGTAGATACTTCATAGCGCAAGTCTCCAATAGTGTCATTGCCACTAGAAAAAGTAAGTTCTGACTTTGTCAATGAAGAAGTTTGTGGGGTCTGGGGCACGAACATATGCCATTTTAAGCCAATTTATGTGGACGGGCTTAGATTGAAACTTTCCAGATTCCTTGATTGTCAATGAGATCATTTGTGGACTGAGCACCTTGTGAACGACATAGGGACCTGTGTATTTGGGCAGTAGCTTTTGACCCTTTCCTGTAGGTTGACTTGACATATAAACATAATCACCAGCGACAAGGTCCAACGCTATTGCATGTTTGTGCCTGCTTTTTTGAACAGCATCATACATTTCTGTTCTGACAGTCTGTAAACGTTCAATATGCTGTTGTATGTAAGAGTGGCAATCTGGAGGAAGACCAGAGAAGTCTGTATCCGCAATGTTAGAGAGAGGGAACTTTGGTCTCTGTCCATACATTAACTCAAATGGTGAATATTTAGTACTACCATTAACAGAATTGTTCATGGCAAACACAATAGCAGGTATTACATCTTTCCTACTTTTCCCATGTGTGATAAAAGGTGTCATTTGCTCCGCTAGAGTTCACAGGATCCCAAGCAATGGTGTACAAAACATGGTGTAAATTGTTGGGAAACGGCAAGTAGTCGACAAACCTCAACAGAACACTTAGACAGAAATTCTGTTCCTTGGTCCTATCAAAGAGTCATATACACCAAAAATGAGTAAAGAGTTCAAAAAGGCACTGGCTAACTGTTAACACATCCTTTGTTGGGAATTAGCAAAACAAACAAGTATCAAGTAAACAAATCCACCATGGTAAAACGTTTCCCTTTGCTGATTTAGGGAGTACTTTGTATCAATCACAATATTTACACTAGGCTTTCAATGTTTTGGTGTACAGTATACCTGGCCCCACTTGTATAAAACATCTCAACTTGAGATTTCCTCAAGTCGAGATTTTCCTCAGCTGATATCTCCTTGAAAATATCTTGTATGAAAATTCCTCAAGGAATTTCAGGACATCCTAGCCGATGCCTTCCTCCTGTTCCTTGAGAAAATTTTATTTAGTTGTTTTTGAGGAGATATCAGCTGAGGAAATTCTCGACTAGAGGAAATCTCAAGTTGAGATGTTTTATACAAGTGGGGCCAGTACACATATAAATTTGTACACAATAAAACCATTTCACCATCGGAAAGACGGACTTGATTACCGATGATGGCAAAGATGAAAGTTTAATTCAATAGGAAAGAAAGCTTGGGCAAATGTTTCCCTGTACACAGAATTATAAAGTTATTTATGTTGAACACTTGTCTCTGATATTGTACATTGGTTTTATACAGGAGATAAGGATGATTTGATTGGAGAAACACAACGTCCTATTGGAAAAGGAGGCCATTTGTTGCAAACCAGTAACAGCTTCACAAGTGAAGGCAGTCACAAAAATGAAGCTTCGCCTCTACACAAAACAAAGCAGATACTCCAGTCTGGCAAGGAGATGTAAGTTATGTTGGATGAACAATCTATTTCTAATCGTGAAGGGGGAGATGAATTTTCATGACGTGAAGAAAATTTATGCATTAATTCATCATTGTTTTATTTCTTTTATAACTGATTATGTGTTAAAATCTGATCCCCCGAAATAAATAGCTGGTATGTTTAATTATGAATCGTAATTCATCATAGCGAGAGATATTTAGTATTTTCAATAACAAATTCTGGTATATAATGTTTGAATTTAAACTCGCCCTACATTTAAACTGTTTCTTTTTCTGTTTTGTTTAGATCTCAGTCACGAGGCTTGAAGATAATTGTCATATGTGCTGTCCTCTTTGCCATCATTATAACCATTGCTCTTATCTTGTCAATTGTGTTTGGAGAGCCACAGGTAATTATATTAACATTCATTGATAAAATCCTTAACAGCCATAAAACTAGTGTAAACAATTAACAAATATGTTGATCATTTGAAGAGACTGTCCCAGTCACCTGTTTCAGCGGCCACAATAATTCAGAAAGTATTGACCAAGGCAAACTTGTACAAAGATCTGAGATGTGTTTGTGATTGTCAGAAAGCTGATAAAAGAACTGATTTCTTGTCATGGTTGTGTACATGAACAACATTCTTAACTCTTATCGCTCAGGATGGCATGCAACAAGTCTTGATATGCTGTCCAGTGAAGTAGCCACACGCTGCTACAAGGAAACTGGCCTCAAAAAGACCCTGGCTGTTGACATGGCAACTAACTCAAACAATATTTCAATAATATTGTTCCAATAACCAGTTATTCCTGGGGTAGATTATTTAGACCCCAAATAGTATAATGTATGCATGATGCTTATTATGCTCCTTGAAAGGAAAGCATATAGTCGCAGCTTTGTTCGTCCATCCTTAAACAATTTTTGTTATGGCTATTTCTTCAGAAGTAAAAGATGAATCTCTCTCAAATTGAATAAGTAGGTTCCCCTTGACCCCTAGTCGTTCCTGTTTGATTTTGGGACTGATTAAAAAAACAAAATGGTTTCCAGGTGGCCATCTTGGATTTTTCAATGAAGTTTGTTATTCCTATTTCTTTAGAAGTATGTGATGTATCTTTCTTAAATTTCATATGAAGGTTCTCCTAGGTCTCTAGTTGTGCCCATTTGATTTTGAGACTGATCAGAACAACAAAACGACTGAAAAGGCAGTCATATTTGATTGTGACTTTGAAAAATTGTTAATGCTTGTTTTTTAGGAGTACTTTCTAGTTGTGCCTGTTTGATTTTGGGATTGATAAAAAAAATGGCCAACAGTAGGCCATCTTGGATTTTGGCTTTGTAAGTTTGTTATTGTTATTTCTTGAGAACTACAGTATAGATCTTTCTCAAATTTTATATATAGGTTCCTTTTGATCTCTAATTGTGCCAATCTAATTCTGGGACAGATCAGAAAAACAAAATAGCAGACAGGAAGCCGTCTTGGATTTGCCTAGTAAAGATTGTTATTGCAATTTCTTAAGAATTACTAAATGGATATCTCTCAAATTTCATCATATGTTCCCTTTGGTCTGACCTTGTGCTTGTCTGATTTTGGGACTGATCAGAAGAAACAAAATGGCTTAGGTAAAAATTGTCATCACTATTTAAATTTTCAAGTGTCTTATCATAAAGAGCAAAAACATAGTAGAGACAAGAAGGGGAAAAACCAACTTTCATTGGGCATATAAAGATCAAACAATGGTGGGCGACAAGATCTCTTTGGGATCTCTTGTTAAGGTTCTCTGACTTACAGTTAATTTTATTTAATTGACAGGTGGGTGGTAATGCTGGTGTAGCAGCCGATGTTCCCATATGCTCAGATATGGGTAGAGATATTCTTCAAGATGGAGGTAATGCTGTGGATGCCATGGTTACCACCATGCTCTGTGTAGGAGTAGTGGATGCACAAAGCTCTGGATTAGGAGGGTAGGTTGTGAACATATTCAGATTTCAGTGTATTTGGATTCCATTTTTCACATTTTCCCTTCAACTCTTAACTAGAAAGCAATATTAGCATCAGAAAAAATATATTAATGATATACAACATGAGGAGGTGCTAAAAGCTTTAAGAAGATAAGTGGGCAAAAATAACCCTTCTCTTTAGAAGGCATAACAAAGGAATCTCGCCACTGAGGTTTCTGTGTCTCATCCTCAAGCTAGGCAAAACTTTTTTCAGTCAATCAAAAACCATTTTGGTATTCCTGTTGAAACTGGAGATAAAAGTTGTTTTCCAGTTGGGAAATACTATTTTAACTACGATTTGGAGTGTTATTTTATGAAAGAAAGTCTCACTATAATTATGACAGTAAAACACTTCCACTTAATACATATGTAAATCTACTCTTTTCAGAGGCGGCTTTATGCTTATCCATGACCATAAGACTCATGAGTCATCAGTGATAGACTTTCGTGAGATGGCACCAGCAACAGCTAGTCCTGACATGTATCAAGGCACAGAGCAATCTTTGGTGGTATGATCTTGTACCTTATGTTACTGCTACACAATACATGTGCTGTTGCTTCAAATGATCTCCCTTAAAAATATTTGTGATTACCGTAAATTTGCAGGTATATTGCACACTTGGGTACGTTTTTGGGGTCAGATTGAAAAAAAAATTGTATATAGAACAATTTATTTTTATTTATTATTTTTTTAGCCCACCATCTATTCAAATAGATGGTGGGTTATTCAAATCGCCCTGCGTCCGTGGTCCGTGGTCCGTCCGTCCGTGGTCCGTCCGTCTGTAAACAATTCTTGTTACCGCTATTTCTGGAAAAGTACTGGATGGATCTTTCTCAAATTTCATATGCAGGTTCCCCTTGGTCCCTAGTTGTGCGTTGTACCTTTTTTGGACTGATTCGCATTCAAGATGGTCGACAGGTGGCCATCTTGGATTTTGGAAGTAAAAGTTTGTTACCGCTATTTCTGGAAAAGTACTGGATGGATCTTTCTCAAATTTCATATGCAGTTTCCCCTTGGTCCCTAGTTGTGCATTGTACCTTTTTTGGACTGATTCGAATTCAAGATGGCAGACAGGCAGCTATCTTGGATTTTGGAAGAAAAAAGTTTGTTACCGCTATTTCTGAGAAAGTACTGGATGGATCTTCCTCAAATTTCATATGCAGTTTCCCCTTGGTCCCTAGTTGTGCATTGTACCTTTTTTGGACTGATTCGAATTCAAGATGGCCGACAGGCAACCATCTTGGATTTTGGAAGTAAAAGTTTGTTACTGCTATTTCTTGGAAAGTACTGGATGGATGTTCCTCAAATTTCATATGCAGTTTCCACTTAGTCCCTAGTTGTGCATTGTACCTTTTTTGGACTGATTCGAATTCAAGATGGCTGACAGGTGGCCATCTTGGATTTTGGATGTAAAAGTTTGTTACTGCTATTTCTTGGAAAGTACTGGATTGATCTTTCTCAAATTCCATATGCAGGTTCCCCTTGGTCCCTAGTTGTGCGTTGTACCTATTTTGGACTGATTCGAATTCAAGATGGTCGACAGGTGGCCATCTTGGATTTTGGATGTAAAAGTTTGTTACCGCTATTTCTGGAAAAGTCCTGGATGGATCTTTCTCAAATTTCATATGCAGGTTCCCTTTGGTTCCAAGTTGTGCATTATACCTTTTCGGACTGATCTGAAATCAAGATGGTTGACAGGCAGCCATCTTGAATTTTGAGAGTAAAATCTTGTTACTGCTATATCTGAGGAAGTCCAGGATGGATCCTTCTGATATTTCATAGATATTGGTTTCCCTTGGTCCCTAGTTGTGCATTGTACCTTTTTTGGACTGATTTGAAATCAAGGTGGCCCACAGGTAGCCATCTTGGATGTCGTCAGTAATACAGCACAAGCATATTGTCCATTATCCACCTGTAACTGACTGCTATCTAATAATACTTTGGGATCTTTTTCAAATGATATTTGCTAATAGGTGCTTAATAAAAATATCTTGTGCCATCATTGAGTACATTCAATGAAGACCAGTTCATGAACATTTACAACACCTGTAACAAACAAAAAAAAATCTTCAAGAACTGAAAACAGATCCTCAAATGGTGGGCGCCAAGATCCCGCTGGTATCCCTTGTTATATTTATATTATTGATTAATGGTTACTGCGGTACAGCAGTTGATGTTTTGATCCATCGATAAATAGGAAACCACGAGCGTGACCCTAACAGATTTAATTATCTGATGTAAAAAAATTTACAGAGGTGCCTGACTTAACCATGTTTTTAAAAATGTTTCAAAATTTGATGAAAACGTTCCATGGCTAAGGCACACCAAAATTGTAAATTATATGGTCTCCAACCCCAAGGGGCTGAAAAAGCATGACCAAAAAGGGTCAAATCGATTGAAACTTCAAAATTCTTCTTTTTAAATCCCAGGTATGATAGAGTCAAGAACTTTACCAAAATTATACATTAATTTCATGACCCCAGGGATCACACATGCCCTGTTCAGGTGAAATTTACTGTAGTTTATATTATTTGGTTATATTTGATTTGAAACTCGCTTAGAATTATTAGTATTAGCTGACAGTTCAATGAGATGCACATATTGACAGCAAATGAGCCCAGAGGTTAAAGGGCAGAGTCAAAAGGGGGTCAGATTGACTGAATTTTCAAAAATCTTTTTCTCAATACCCAGATAATGAAGAACCAAATACTCATTGTGGATAGAAGCATCTTATGGTGCTTTATAAAATTGTAAATTTCATGACCTCAGGGTCTCACATTTCCCCTTGGGGAGGGGATAAAATTTACTATATTTTATATAAGAAAATGACATTTTTGAGCATGATTTTGTTTATTTTCTCTCAGAAATCATTCAAACTTGGTTAGATTTTTAGCCCACTGGAAAAACAAAATGGCTGCAATACAGTATTTGTTATGTACATCTACAGGGTGGTCTGGCTGTCGGAGTCCCTGGAGAATTAAAGGGCATGCAGACGGCCCACAACAAGTATGGAAAGTAAGTGTTCATCATTTCACATCATCTAACATAAGTTTTCATTTGATATATGATGTATGAAACATGACTAAGAATTTTAGATTTTAGCAACCTTTGCCAAATTAGAATGAAAAATTTGGAATGAGTTTCAAAAACCACACATCAATGGGAACATATTTAAGATTCTTATGTCACATGACTGATTATTCCGGTATTTATAATTATTGGAAACTGTCATTTCCACATTAAATTTGGAGTCATGTCAGCTCTATATCTTTGGTCTCCATGGTTACATGACAATACATTTAGAATATTTTCACTGAATAACAAGGTAATCATATGATGAGTTAAGTATATTTGTAATGTATAATATTTGTTAGATAATCTGTGAACTTATATATATGCTGTACTTATCTCCAATTCAAATGAGGTGTTAATTCAGTATCTTTAGGTTGAATTTCTAAACTTTTGACCAATTGAAATGACCCTCAAAATAACCCAGGCCTGTGGACGGACCCAGGTATAATGTTTGTGTTTTAAATTTTGTTACAAATTATTTATTCAATATTTTTTCTGATTTGCTCGTTGCTTTTGTTAATATTATATCAAATCTTCTTCCTATTAGGTTATCATGGAAAAAGGTGATCCAGCCCGCAGCAGATCTCGCCAGGAATGGATTTAAAGTGACACCCAGCATGGGTAAGTCTGTTCTGTTTGTGATTATATATACAGATTTGATTACCATATTAAACAGAATATAAACTGCACTGGTATATAAGCTGCAGAGCCAATTTTTAACATTTTTTTCTGATTTGATCCACATATAGCAACACCGCGAATATAAGCCGCACCCTTTCTTACAAAGTGGTAGCTGTTCTGTTGACGAAAGTTCGTTGATAATGTGGTAACGGTTATATTGATCAAAGTTTGTTGATAATGTGGTAACGGTTATATTGATCAAAGTTCGTAGATAATGTGGTAACGGTTATATTGATCAAAGTTTGTTGATAATGTGGTAACGGTTATATTGATCAAAGTTCGTAGATAATGTGGTAACGGTTATATTGATCAAAGTTCGTAGATAATGTGGTAACGGTTATATTGATCAAAGTTCGTAGATAATGTGGTAACGGTTATATTGATCAAAGTTTGTTGATATAAGAGACAACGAAAGGTCATTTATCATGTACTTGTCAAAAACTTGGTACCAACGTCTCATACTGGTGTACTGGTTTAAATCACTATTTTTTTGTTCTTTCTGGAAACTTGACATGTTACAACAACCAAACTTGTCAGAGTGCAAGGTTATGCAGGTCAATACTGCTTATGATATTCCTCAACAAAATGGCCTTTCTGAAATACCAAACAGTTTGGAACCAATTTCCAGAGGACATGCTTCATAATTTTTCTTTTTTTTATTTTGCCAATTTTTTTTCGTCCACATGTATGCCTCATTGGTATATAAGCCGCACATCTGACTGTCGAGGACGAAAAATGTGATTAATAACCTGAAAAATACAGTATTTTTGTACCAGTTTCAACTTGATAAATTTTTTGAATGTGTATTCGTTACAAAGGCAGTTAGTCATGTTTTTCATGTAATTTCTTGATTTGCAGCAAAAGTTTTCACAGAGGGAAAAGTGAAAAAGGCAGAATTTAAAGGAATGATGGAAGATATATACTTAGATGAGAATGGGGACTTTGTTCAACAGGGAACACAAATCTCTCGTCCACAGTTGGCTGACACACTGGACATCATTGCAGAGCATGGTGCAGACGCCTTCTACAATGGGCAGCTCTCCAAATCAATCATTGATGCGGTATGCTAATTGTACCTTATCATATACATTAATTTTGTGTTAACTATAGGTGGGGCCAAAAATATGTCAAATTGACTGAAATTTCAAGGATTTTCTCAATAACCAGATATAATAAAATTTATAAAAAATTGTTCATGGATGAAAGATTTGATATGGGTAAATTTCAGTTTTGATTGTAATTCCTTTTTATTCAAACTTGGTTTGAAGCCTTAGCATGGAACAGCAATTAGTGTTATGCTCAGTTTACAGTCTGTGTATATTGTAGTTAAAGCAATCTTACGTTTTGTAACAAAATCATTTCTATGACATGTTATAAGAGGCATTGTTACTCAGGTGTTCATCTGTAAGATCTCTTCAGAATACATGTTAAAAGGCAAGTGGGTCTGTCTCCTAGGAGGAAGGGGGCCTAGTATATAGTGTTCACTTAGTTTGTGTGCCTGTACATGTCAATCAGTGTTTAAATGCACCTAGGATAGCCTTTTGTACACCTTATTTCATCAAGTCCTTAACAAATTCGATTCATACTCACACCATCACCATCATACCATCAAGGTCAACACTTGATTAGATTTTGGTGGTCATTGGTAAAGGTCAAAGGTCAGTCTTCACTACTTTGATTCGTGGGTGAAGGTATGTCTATGTGAATCCCAGCTAAATTTGTTTTTATTTTTCTACCAAGTCAGTTGCCTATGTAATAATTTTCTCCATTCATTAATTGAAAAACAGATTTCACATATCTTAGAGTTTTTATTTTCATCATCATGAGAATGTGAGTGTATCGCTAAAATGATGATCTACAATTATTCTAATTGATGCTAATATCAGATAACTGTTTTGGACATGGTGTATTTTGTGATTTTAAAGTCACCTAAATTATTTCATAGTTTTTGATGTATTTCACAGGTGTCCAAGGCCACACCCCCAGGAATTATGACGTTAGAAGATCTCAAAAACTATGATGTTGTGATCAGGAGAGCTGTCCAAACTACATACAATGGTGAATTCCTTGATTTCTCCTTGCTTTTCAGAATTTTCTTATTCCATTGATTTGATTTCATTTTCAACTTCATGTCACTAATACATGTGTCACCAACTTACCTTATTCTGTCAGATCAACATAATTCATCATTTATTGGCATTATCAAGACCTGTTTGAATCATGAAAAATGCTGGAATCACCTTATAATTTGTTATTTTTGGTTAGAATTGAAAAATTTTGAATCTAATATTACTTTCAAAATGATATGTGATGAGGATAAAATACAAATATATAACTCATTGTAAGACCTTTTTCCTTGATGAATGACCCTTTAAAACATTCTGTCACCCTTGATTTTGAAGGGCTATAACCAAATATCAGATGACTAGACATTGGTGACACTGTGATACTTATATTTTATTGTATACTGATATGGAAAATAAGGATAGTGACCAACATTACAGAGAAGATTACAGAGGAGCAACACTCAACTTCAAAACCAGTGCTACAAATTGTTATGCGTCTTTCAAGATTTGTTAAGAGTTACATCAAAGGATCAAGCTGATCTTTTCATTTATCCAAAAAGTGTCAAACATGGAACCCTCAATTTTACCATTAGATGTTCTAGGGGTACAGAGAGCAGTAGTAAGTGTTACCCCTAGATGATATAGGAAGGTTGCAGAGGTACAGAGAGCAGTAGTAAGTGTTACCCCTGGATGATATAGGAAGGTTCCAGGGGTACAGAGAGCAGTAGTAAGTGTTACCCCTAGATGATATAGGAAGGTTCCAGGGGTACAGAGAGCAGTAGTAAGTGTTACCCATGGATGATATAGGAAGGTTCCAGGGGTACAGAGAGCAGTAGTAAGTGTTACCCATGGATGATATAGGAAGGTTCCAGGGGTGCAGAGAGCAGTAGTAAGTGTTACCCATGGATGATATAGGAAGGTTGCAGGGGTACAGAGAGCAGTAGTAAGTGTAACCCCTAGATGATATAGGAAGGTTCCAGGGGTACAGAGAGCAGTAGTAAGTGTAACCCCTGGATGATATAGGAAGGTTGCAGGGGTACAGAGAGCAGTAGTAAGTGTAACCCCTGGATGATATAGGAAGGTTGCAGGGGTACAGAGAGCAGTAGTAAGTGTAACCCCTGGATGATATAGGAAGGTTGCAGGGGTACAGAGAGCAGTAGTAAGTGTAACCCCTGGATGATATAGGAAGGTTCCAGGGGTACAGAGAGCAGTAGTAAGTGTTACCCATGGATGATATAGGAAGGTTCCAGGGGTGCAGAGAGCAGTAGTAAGTGTTACCCATGGATGATATAGGAAGGTTGCAAGGGTGCAAAGAGCAGTAGTAAGTGTAACCCCTGGATGATATAGGAAGGTTCCAGGGGTACAGAAAGCAATAGTAAGTGTAACCCATGGATGATATAGGAAGGTTCCAGGGGTGCAGAAAGCAGTAGTGAGTGTTACCCCTGGATGATATAGGAAGGTTGCAGGGGTACAGAGAGCATTAGTAAGTGTAACCCCTGGATGATATAGGAAGGTTCCAGGGGTACAGAGAGCAGTAGTAAGTGTAACCCCTGGATGATATAGGAAGGTTCCAGTAAATGTAACCCCTGGATGATATAGGAAGGTTCCAAGTAAGTGTAACCCCTGGATGATATAGGAAGGTTCCAGGGGTACAGAGAGCAATAGTAAGTGTAACCCCTGGATGATATAGGAAGGTTCCAGGGGTACAAAGTGTGATAGTTAGCATAACTCATGAGTATTGAGGATAAATGATCTACTGGTCATTTGTTTTAGATTATTCTATTCATTGTGTTTGAATCTTTTTTTTTCTCACAAAGTTAACAAGATTTAGTATATACTAGTTTATAATGTTGATAATATATCTGTTGACAGGTCACACATTACTCTCTACTCCTGCTCCAGCCTCAGGATCTGTTCTACTGTTCATCATGAATGTTTTAGAAGGATTCAAGTTTACAAAGGCAGACAAAAATAGAGTACAGACCTTCCATAGAATCATAGAGGTATAATCCAGGAACAGATTTGTTACATTTGGATTCTGTGACTTTTTCACTCTCTTATCTGTGAACACAATCAAAGATTTTATTTTATTCTTTTTCGTTTTCTTTGTTTCATTCATTTTATTTTTCTTCTCTGTTTTTAAATAGTTTATTGCTGAGTTGTTTGGTGTTTTTAGCGGCTTCTTCACCAAATAAAGTTCTTTTAACAACTGTATTTCTGTATACTTGTCAACTTTCATCTCAATGATGATCAACCTACTATAATACACATTTAAAGTATTTGTAGAGGATTGGCATAAAACAGGGTATGGCGATGGTTTTGAGAATTGGTGATAATTCCATCAAGGATCTGTCTGTATCTTTGTAGTCAACAAATCCTAACTTATCTATAAATAAAATATGTAAAACAGGTGCTTGGTTATTCATCCCAATATTTTTGCTCAGGTTTTTGTTATTAGCCATCATCAGTATAGAGATTCAAAATGGGAATTTCATTTTCAAGTCCTGTTAAAACTTACCGTTTAAGTCTCTTCTGAAAAGCTGTTTTATTTCATTGATATTTAATTGAAATTACATATTTGTAAACACTCGTTGATATCTTCTTGTTTATCCAGACATTAAAGTTTGCATTTGAAAAACAACAACAGTTAGGTGACCCAGACAAAGACACTACAGGGCAGGTGAAGAATGTAACAGATTTCTTAAACAGGTAAAACTGATTGTAGTGTAACTAACCAAAATCAGTCATGTCAAAATCAAACATAAGCTTTTTCTAACTACGTTGTCTGTGTCCAAATCAAGCATCTTCCTTTCACATCTCAGATGATACCACAGTATTCAAATTTAGATCATGATTATGCCAAACATTTTTTAAGAGGTAAGACTGACTGAAACTCAAACTGCACATACTGGTCATATCAGAATCTTTATTTGACATGGTAAATTATAGATATCACAGGGAACACCAAAAATTAGATTTAGCTCATTGACAGTATTGGAAAAGTAAAATTGATTTTATTATTGCACTCACTAGAACAGCTTTGTATTATTTAGCCCCAAAAAAATCCTGTTATTGTTCATGACAGTGTTTACAGCTATCTTCGAATGTTTCTTCTAAGGATTTTGTTATTTCGTTTTTTTTCACAGCAAAGCTGAAGCAAGTTATATACGTAGTCTTATTTTGAATGTAACCAAGGATGAAACAGGACAGTTTAATAAGCTTGACAAAGGCACTTCCCATATCTCCATTATTGATGCTCAGGAACTCATGGTCTCCGTAACAACGTAAGTATAACTACAAAATTGTTATCTTAAATTGACAATTGGTGTTGAATCCTTACCTTTCCAGCAGTGATAGGTGAACTTTATAAATGTCTCGCCCCTTGTGTGTTCGCAGTATACTTATATACCTAAATTTGTTGTTACTGTCCTGATGTGCCCACATAGTACTAAATGTGTTAGACTCATATATTTTTGTGACATACTACTGAGCATTATACTTAGAGGAATATTTGCCTTTTGTGTTGACAGCACTGTGAATCAGTGGTTTGGATCAAGAGTGATGACATCAACTGGCATCTTACTCAATGACCAAATGGCAGACTTCTTTGTACCAACACCAGGCTCTACACAGACTCAGAACCAGGTAAGGTCAAGGTCAAACACCAGGTTCCACACAGAAATTAAGGTCAAAGTCAGACACCAGGATCCACATTGACTCAGAACCAGGTAAGGTCAAAGTCAGACACCAGGTTCCACATAGAAGAAATTAAGGTCAGAGTCAAACACCAGGATCCACATTTACTCAGAACCATGTAAGGTGGAGGTCAAAAAACAGATTCAGCACAGAATCAAATTATGGTAATGTCAAGTATGAAAAAGCAGTCTCCACACAGACTCTGAACTGAGTAAGTTCATATTCAAACACCTTGCTGTACTCTGACTTAGAACAAGGTAAGGTTAAAGTCAAACACCAGCCTCCAAACAGACTCAGATCCAGATAAGGTCAAGGTCACAAACAAGATGCACTCAGACTCAGAACCAGGTAAGTTCGAGGTCAATCACTAGGATTCACAGAGACACAAAACCAGGTAAGGTCAAAGTCAAAACAAGGTTCTACACAGACTCAGAACTAGACAAGATCAAGGCCAATCTCCAGGATCAACACAGCCACTGAACCAGGTAAGTTCAAAGTCAATCACTAGGATCCACAGAGACCCTGAAAGAGGTAGGTCAAAATCAGTTACCATGGTCCACACAGTCTAAGCACCACGAAGATAGAGGTCAAAACCAAGTTTCTCACAAATTCTGAACCAAGTAAGTTTTAAGGTCAAAGACCAGGTTCCACACAGACACTGAACTTGGTAAGTTCAAAGTGTATCTCTTGGATCCACAGAGACTCTGAACCAGGTAAGGTCAAGATCAGTCACCAGGTTCCACACAGGTGCAGAACCTGGTAAGATCAAGGTCAAAACCAGGTTTTACACAGACCCTGAACCAGGTGAGTTCAAGGTCAAACACCAGACTGCTGTCATAGTCAACTAGATAACTCCAAAATGGTTATAAGTGTAAAGCTGACAACAGAACTAAGTAAGGACAAAACACAGGCACAGAAATTAGCAATGATAAAACAGACACAGAACCAAGTAAGGAAAAAACATTGGCATATAACCAAGTTAGGACAAAACATAGCCATAGAACCATTTAAGGACAAAACATAGACACAGGAATAAGTAAGGACAAAACATAGGCACAGAACCAAATAAGGATAAAAACATTGGCATTGAACCAGGTTAGGGCTAAACATAGGCACAGAACCAGGTTAGGGCTAAACATAGGTGCAGAACCAGGTTAGGGCTAAACATAGGCGCAGAACCAGGTTAGGGCTAAACATAGGCGCAGAACCAGGTTAGGGCTAAACATAGGCGCAGAACCAGGTTAGGGCTAAACATAGGCGCAGAACCAGGTCAGGGCTAAACATAGGCGCAGAACCAGGTCAGGGCTAAACATAGGCACAGATCAAAATTGGGACAAAGTCTTTCTCTGAGGCTCTACATGTAAACAAGCCCAGTTAGGTTAAAGGAAATATTTGAATCCTAGTCATGGACCTGGAGGTGAAATGCTGGCTGGATATACAGACACAAACCATGCAAAATCAACTTCTGAACCTCTCCCACACACTGAACAGGAAACTAACCTCAAAGGCTCCACTACGACACAGATCAGAGTAAGGTCTTATTCAAGCTAGCAGGCTTGTTTTTAGAGTCTTAAATATTTACAACATATACCATCGTAATGTTTTAACATTCATCCTCTTTTTCTTCCAGCTAAATGCTATAGGGCCTGGGAAACGTCCACTATCCAACATGGCTCCTGCTATTCTACTAAACGAAGATCGGCCATGTTCACTTCGTATGGTTGTAGGAGCTGCTAATGGATCCCGCATCATTTCAGGTAGATATTGATGTAGAACTTCACTACAGAGGCATAATATTCTAAGTTTATACACAACATAAGAAAAGCCATAGTTAGGGTTTACATACTATTTATTATTTAAAACACTACATAACAAGATTGTCATAAGAAATACATTTGGCTCTTCTTTGGGGCTACTCACCATGTGTATACCTTATTAAAACATTCACATAACACATTAACTTCCTAATAATTTAACCTGATCCGAAACTTAAATGATAACATGTTATCCGATTGAACATGTAAAATTTAGTTATTATCTAAATGGGGAAAAGAATTTCCTGAAATTCTATTGGCCTTAATAAAAAATGTAACCTTATCTAAATGGGGAAAAGAATTTCCTGAAATTCTATTGGCCTTAATCAAAAATGTAACCTGGAACAGGTTATGAGACCAAACCCTGGAACATGGTGCAAGCCCCTGGAACAGGGTAAAATCTTAATCAACTATTTAACCTGGAACAGGTTATGGGACAAAACCCTGGAACAGGGTAAAATCTTAATCAACTATTTAACCTGGAACAGGTTATGGGATCAAACCTTGGAACAGGGAAAAATCTTAATCAACCACATATCCTGGAACAGGTTATGGGATCAAACCTTGGAACAGGGAAAAATCTTAATCTACGATGTAACCTGGAACAAGTTATGGTACAAGACCCTGGAACAGGGTAAAATCTTAATCAACCATTTAACCTGGAACAGGTTATGGGACCAAACCCTGGAACAGGGTAATATCTTAATCAACTATTTAACCTGGAACAGGTTATGGGACCAAACCCTGGAACAGGGTAATATCTTAATCAACCACATATCCTGGAACAGGTTATGGGATCAAACCTTGGAACAGGAAAAATCTTAATCTACGATGTAACCTGGAACAAGTTATGGTACAAGACCCTGGAACAGGGTAAAATCTTAATCAACCATTTAACCTGGAACAGGTTATGGGACCAAACCCTGGAACAGGGTAAAATCTTAATCAACCACATATCCTGGAACAGGTTATGAGACCGAACCCTGGAACAGGGTAAACTCTTAATCTACGATATAACCTGGAACAGGTTATGAGACCGAACCCCGGAACAGGGTAAATTCTTAATCTACGATGTAACCTGAAACAAGTTATGGTACAAGACCCTGGAACAGGGTAAAATCTTAATCAACTATTTAACCTGGAACAGGTTATGGGACCAAACCCTGGAACAGGGTAAACTCTGAATCAACAATGTAACTTTGACTAGGTAAGTGACTAACAAACCCTGAAACAGGATAAATTTTTTAAACAACCCTGTTACGTGGAACAAATGTAAGTGACTAAATCCTGAAACGGGGTATAAAACTTAAACAATGTAACCTATAAACAGCTTATGTGACTAAAATAATACATAATTAAATTTGTAACATACCAGGTAAACACTCACACAAATACATATGCAAAAAAGATTGGGAATAGCCATCAACAAAAACATGATGAGTAGCCCAAATACATGTTCTTAACAAAATGTAAAATTAAACAATGGCTTTGAAAATACTAAGAAATATATACAAAGCAAGGGTGATGTATGGGGATGGTGGGTGGGAAAGTTTTATAACTGTCCAATGCCACTAAAAAACCTGCCCACGTGCTGCTTCTCTCTACACTTTCAACACTTTTCTCTCTCTTACAAACAACTGCTCTCATTGGTTGATTTTGATCACGTGAACTTATACGTCATACTAAATTTAGACACCCTACATAAATGTAAACAAACTAATATCTACCGTCAGTAATAAGTCTGTACTAATAACCTACATCAATTTATAACCTATACACCCATGCTTACACACACCAGCCAGCAAATAAGGATGACGATATGTTGTGTATAAACTCAAATTAAATAAATTTCCATTTTATACACAACATAAGAAATGCCATAGTTAGGGTTTACATACTATTTATTATTCAAAACACTACATAACAAGATTGTCATAAGAAATACATTTGGCTCTTCTTTGGGGCTACTCACCATGTGTATACCTTATTAAAACATTCACATAACACATTAACTTCCTAATGATTTAAACTGATCCGAAACTTAAATGATAACATGTTATCCGATTGAACATGTAAAATTTAGTTATTATCTAAATGGGGAAAAGAATTTCCTGAAATTCTATTGGCCAAACGAATGAATTTTTGCTATGTGTACAGCAACAGTGAGTGAGAGCCCCAAGAAGATAGAAACCAGGGATGTATGATATCTCCCTCAAAAGCTGAAAGAACATAATGTTTACACACCCAGTCATGTCACGATATGTTTGTAAATATAAAATAAACATATGATATATGATTTATTGTAACTTTAACTCTATTCACAATATAGATCTTAAAACAATTGTCATTTCACAATCACAATTTGCTCCTTCCAATGCCCCTTCACACTTATATATCAATTTTGCTATGCTAGAACATGGGCTGGTTCCTTATCACTACAGCTATTGTTTTGTTTTAAGAATCTTCCATCTTTTGAACTGACTTTAAAACAGTGTAATTTTCTCTAACAAGTATGACTGGTTGATATAGGACTGTAATTTTAAGGTCATTCTTAAAATGACAGGTTAACACAAACTTCTAGACAATGACCTATATATATTTCATTCTGATCATAAAAAAAAACAAAATATATGATATGTATTTGTTTCCTTGAAGAGTTTTAGTTTCAGAATTAATTTAAGTGTTGAAATTATTCTCTGTAGGTGTTGTGGAAACACTCTTGAATGTTGTATCATTTGGAGAGAGCAACCTGACAAAGGCAATTTTTGCACCCAGGATCCACTATGACGCTATATCCCGTGACACAGAATATGAACGTAAGTGCCAAATTGTAAACCACCATCCTCAATACTTCACTTTTGCTCACTGCAGCTTGGGAGCATTTCTTGGCAAAACTGATGGCACAAGCAAAATTAACTGATTGGTCTAAAGCAGGTTTCATGAGAAAAAAAAATGGACCAATCATGAACTGATGTTCTCCATTGAAGATTGTGAACGAGTGACACCCAACTTCAGAGCCATACAGTGAACAAACGGTTATGTAACCTCGCGATTTGTTTGATGTATATCAAAGGATCAAACTAGATCAGCAAGATGTCACACATTGAACTATCAATTTTGCCATGAAATGTTCCAGGGGTGTAGAGAGTGATAGCAAAATCTGCTGGAGTATTGAGGATGGTAAACCCCCTTTGAAGCTTATTTCATTTATATTAGGTCTTTCTTCAAATGTCATATAGTAAAAGTGTAGCATTAGGAATGTTGACAAGTCAAGCTATGTTGTGTCTTGTTCATTGATATAAGTTTATATATTGATTTGTTTGAAGGGAAGTCTTATTCTACTGTTGTAAACAGAGTTCTGTTTCCATAATTTTATGTTTCTTATGTTTTTAGCTGGTTTCCCAGAGAGTATAGTAAAAGGCTTGTCAGAGGATCATGGGCACAAAATGGTGCGTACTGTGGAAGGAATCAACATTGTACAAGCTGTGTCAAAAGTCAACAATACCTTACAGGCAGTTTCCGATCCGAGGAAGTGGGGACGTGCAGCCACACTGGAGTAATATGTATCTCCCTTGTCAAAATTCATTATTTTGGAAATCCAAGTTTTCTTCTCTGCCATTGGAATATGCTTTGCTGGCAAATATCAGAATCTTTTTGCACCAACTATGTGCCAATTTTAGTTGCAAAAAATCACTGAATTGGCTGATCATGAGCCAGAACATATTCCAATCATAAAGGGAAGCTGTGTATGTGAAGAGAAGAAATCTTTGAATTCAAAAATGAACACAAATGATGTTGTCTGTTCTTTAAAGTGCAATAAAACAATACTTTTATAATATGATACAAATAATATACTGTAATGTATAATGAAAAATGTTGATTTTAGTTATCAGTTCTCTTTCAAATATTTGATCACAAATTTAGAATTTGATGTAGAAAAAGTTAAAATACACCATCAATGTGTAGTGTACCAATGTTAGGGCCCACAACCACTTAATTACAGAGTTAGTGCTCAATGTTGAAATTTTGTGTCTAGAGAATTACTTTTCCTGCATTTAAACTTGGATATTGAAATGTGATGTATACAAAGTCATGTAAAAGGTGCATCACAGCAAAGTCTGGGTCCATGACCCCTCAGTACATTGTTATTGTCATTTGTTATAATTTTGTGTAATAAGCATAGCTTTTCTTTCACCAAAACTAGGAACATGTAACTTGGTGTATGCATCAGTCATATTAAGAGAATGTGCAGTATAAAAAATTCAGTGTGTGCAACCCCTTAATTAAAGAATTATGGTCTTTTGTTAAAATTTTGTGTTTAATACATTTTTATGGGGCATTGATTGGTTTCAATGGTACTCTTGTTTGAGTAAAGAATCAGACTTTATATTAATTGGAACAGGACTGTATGTATATACATATTTAACGAAGCAGTGGTGTCTCATTGAATAGGTAGACTTTATTGTTATTCCACTGAATGTTGTTTTTTGGTTGATATGATGGTTGTCAGTATAAAGTGAAATGTGATATTGTTTTCTAGCTTACTTAGCTTATTCATTGTGATATTGGTGTATATTGTGGTATCAATTGAGATAAGAATTATTTTATGAATGTTAGTTAAATATGAAACAGTTGTGGAAGTTTTTTCTAGTGAAGTTCTTAGATATGACAGTTTGGTGTTTATTGTTTAATTCAGGTTTGTTTATATTTCTGAGTTTATAAGTTGTAGAACTTTTCTAAAGTGAAGTTCTGTCAATATTCAACATAGATGAAAAACCTCACTGACATATGTTATTGGTAAAGTACAACTCTCTACTTTGAGTGAGGTAAAGGTTTATGTAATAATAAACATCTGCATTTTTAGTTTTTATGGAAATACATGTACTTATGGACAGTTATTAGATTTTCGAAGAAATTATGATGAATTTTTTCCACCTTTTCTGGATCCCAGTTTGAGACTTCTTTGCCTCACTCTAGGATGAAAGACTGTAATAAACATTGTATGATGTTGTTGATGTTGCACCAATAATCAAATGATACCACATCATCCATGCGGTTATTTCACACATGGCAAGCAGGGTAAGAGAAAATAATTACCGGTATTTACCCCTTTGCAGGTGGATCTCAACCCTTGGGGAAAGATTATTAGTTGCCAAAACTTTGTGTTTGCAACTTAAAAATCTTCCTCTTTGGAATGATGTTCCCTTACCTCACCTTGAAGAGGCAGATAGATTCTATTCATCATCATTCATTATCCAGCATGTCAGTTGCAAAAATCTGAGAAACTTTTCATTTATTTTTCTGCATAAAAAAATGTATAATATGTTCAATATTTCTGAATGAGCTAAAGTTTAAACTTACTATTTGATAAAACACTTGTATTACATTTCACAGATTTGTCATGTCTAATTTTATGATAAATACATCCATCTCTAAATGCGATCTTTAATAGGAATGAATCTCATGCTGCCTTCACTATGCTCATAACATTCCTAAAAGGGTGTTTGATAGTGTTTTTAAATGCTTTACTTATAAATAATTCCATTCAATGTAACATTCCATATTGTCAGATTGAGGAATGACTGTATTTCAGTAAGTTGAGAATGAAACCATTTAGTGTACTTTTTTTCATTAAATTATATTATTTTATAAACTGGTCTTCTGTTGTGTCTTCTCAATTCTTTCTAAAATTCTAAATCTAAAGTTGTTAAAGATCAATAAATCTTTCTTTGTGCCTCATTACAAACTGAGAAAATCATATATATGGTATGCGGTGCACAAGAACAAGGTTTTGAGCACAAAATCTCGTCAGTTAAATTATAAGGCATTTAGTGTCATTCTATAATATCAATTGGCTGCATTCTATTTTTGACAAAATTTAGTATTATGGTATAGAAATGTCTATGTAAAGGCTTTGCAGTGTGTAGTATGTGGAGTCAAACTTTATACAATGTATTTTCAGATTGTCAAAGTAGAAAAAAGGAAACTGCCAAAAAGGCAGTACATATATATTTAAGGTAGTTCATCCTTTTAGATTTTATGAGACAAAACTCCTGTCCAATTACTTTCATATTTTTTTTAAACATTTGATCTAAGAAAGTAGATTAAAAGCAAAAAAAGAATATGTTGCTGCACTTTTTTTGTACAGGCATCCGTTTCCTTATGTTTGCAGCAAGCTTTTTTTTTCAAATAAAATTTTGTCTTTTGTTTCAAGAGAAGGGTATGAGACCTGGATATACCAAAAAAAAAAAAAAAAAAATGCAAAAAATCCAAAGTTTTCATTTGCTTTAACAAGCTTTAAACTGCATGGCAACCAAAAAATGAAAATGTTCCAAAATGACTTAAATCCTGTATTCTAGTATTAAACTTTTTTAAAGACACTTTTCATGATCAAAAAGGAGGGATTAACTGTGCTTTATTTTCTGCAATTTTCACCCAAATAGACCGTTTTTCCAAGATCAGGAAAAAGCTGAATTATTTGTTTTGGGGTCCAAAAAATCTTTTGAAAGTGATCTACCAAGTTGGAATTCACAAATTTGAAATCTTTGATTTGTGGTGATGATCCATACAAAATTAAGTTGAAATATACCAAAGATTTCCAGAGATATACCATGAATATTAGAAAATTTGAAATTAATCTATTGACCGAATCACTTTGTCAACTACAACGTCAAAAAAAGTAGTCCAAAAGTGAAATTTCTTCAAAGCGTTATAAAAATAGCTATTTTTATGTCAGTAAGTACACCACTCTATAACAAAGTGAACAAGACTGTCAAATGTTGGAATTCATTTTATATTGAATTATGTCTTAGGTCTTGTGGAAACATCAGATGAGTACATCCTCAAAATAAAATAAAAAAATAAAAAACATACTTCACCCTGCTTTTTTTTGAAATTATAATAGATTATATTGCTGGAACTGTTGTGAAACAACATTGTAGTTTGAGAAAAAGTATTCCAGATGGCTACACCCAGAAAGCCTTGTACTTTGTTTACAAAATTCCCCACTCTTATCCCAAGGCTTCGTCTGGTGAATAGCAAAGACACCAAAACATCAAGGTGTGTTCTAACAAACCTTTGGAGGCCTGTAGTGATCTGAAATGTAACATTTCAAATGTTTATGAATGAGCATGACTGCATCAATGCTAGTGAATCTGGATAAAGCCTTCTGTGGCCTGTATTAATGTCTGTAGGTGTCTCAATTTATATCTGAGCAAGAGTACCACAGTGCAAAAAATATCTGCCAGTCCCATGCCTAAAAAAACATTAATTAGTTCAAAAGAATTTAAAACACATTTGTCTATTTCCCAATTTGACCCTGCCCCTCCTGCCAAAGGGAGCGAGATGCTTAGTTTGTACAAATATGAAAATTCTGTTCACCAAGGATGCTTAAATCTAAATTCTATCATTATAGCTTAAGAAGGATTTTAAGAAATTAATTCTTTTTCCATAATTAGGCCCTGCCTCTCCTATCCGAGGGGGCCAAACCCAACTCTTCATACAAAATTGATCCCATTCACTCAAGCATGTCTCGGACCAAATTGGGACGGAATCCAGTCATTCCTACGGAAGAATAATAATTTTAAAGAATTTGCTCTAATTCCCCTATTGTGCCCCAGAAGCTAGCCCAGATCAATGATTTGTACAAAACTGGTTCCCCTTTACCAAAGGATGCTTCAGACCAAATATGGGCAAAATCCTCTCATTCCTACAGAAGGATTAGGATTTTCCAGATTGGTGTTTTATTATTGGGTCTCACCACTCCCTTCCCAGGAACAGAGACTCGCCATTTATACAAAATTGATTCCCTTTTAACCAAGAATGCCTTCCATCAAATTCAGGCACAATCAAATCATTACAGGAGGAGCAATTCCTGAAGAACAAGACAGAAAGAAATTTCATCTTATTTCCCCATTTGGCCCCGCCCATCCTGCCAAAGAGGGTTTGATATTCTGTTTGTACAAAATTAAGTTCCCTTCACCAAGGAAGCTTCAAATCTAATCTGGACAAAATTTAATCATTACAACAGAAAAAGTATTTCAAGGAATTTGCTCTTTCTATTGGGCCCCACCCTTCTGACCCATTGAGGGTTAGATCTAATCTTTATACCAAACCTAAGTCCCTTCACTCAAGCATGCTTCAGACCTTTGGACAATATCCTTGGGCAGGTAGACAATAGGCATTGCGGTATTCCTATAGCTCACAAAAAATTGGCGTTTTAACCAAGGTGAGCTTTCACGCCATAATGATTTTGCCTACCAAGTTTAAAACATATTTCTTCAAATCTTTAACAGATCTGTGGATAAATCATAATTTAAGAAGTACAATGCCATATCTTGATGCATCCTTTCAAACAATTTTACAGGCTTATAAAAAATAAAATCTCAAATGCTGGCAAACTAGTCGGTCTGCATCAACAAAAATTGTCCTGGTCTTGTCAAATAGCAGAATGATTTTGAATGGTAATTCATTCCATCTTCAAATACAGATCAAAATACAAAACAACAAATTTCATCTTGACTTTTGATATTTATTTACAGAAAAAGAAATGAAATAAATCAATTTCTTTCTGGCTCTGTTTGCATTTCATACCTATCTTTTCCACCGCAACCATCACAATTTAACATCGGTTAAAAACAATAAAAACAAGTGACCTATATAAAAAATCTATGTTAAACAACCTTTTCCAAGATACTGATCATAAGTAATACTGCTTATATTTTAAAACCATTAATAATAGTGAGGTCCTTGGGCATTAACAGTCACTTGACTGAAAGACCTATACATAAAAGAGGCCAAATAGGCCTAAAATAAATTGCTCAACTATACTACAGTTACAGACATTGTCGGTTCATAAAAACATTTCCAGCAAACTTTAAATCCTGTTCCTTATGCATGCTACTACACAAATACCATGACTCCAACACCTATTGCTTGTTGAAAAAGAAATTTCAACTGCTTTGACACCAGAGACCTTGAAAGTAAGGCCTGGTCAATCATTAAAAAAAAATCCTGGTGGCACTTCATCCAAATATGTTAAAGAACCAATAACAACGGCCTTGAACTTTTGTTTCTTTAGAAAGAGTCTTTTGAAGATTATAAAACATTTGACCTCTGTGACATTTGAAAAGGGAGGTGGTCAATCGCATGAACAAAATTTGCAACCCCTCATCCCAGTATGCCACAGGCCCAATATCAGCACACTGGGCCTCTTGGTCGTTGAGAAGAAGTTGTTTAAAGATATTTACATAACTGACCCTAGTGACTTTGAAAAATAGCTCAATATCAGCACCCAAAACCTTTAATTATTGAGAAGTTCTTAAAAAATTTCAACACATTTGACCCCTGTGACCTTGAATGTGGGTCAAGATTAATGATATGAACACATTTAGTAGCCTTTAATCCTGTTTTAGAGAAGTCATTTAAAGCTTTAGACATATCTGACACCTGTGACCTTTAAAGTGTTCAGGATTCATGACATGAATGAACCAGGTAGGCCTTCATGCAAGCATGCCACAGGCTCTATATAACACCTTTTGGTTATTAAGTCGTTGTTTCAACACATTTGGCAACTGTAACCTTGAGGTAATTCACTTTAACAAACAAGGCAGCCCTTTATCTAATAATGCCCCACTAGACAAAAAACCTTATGCCTTTCGCTATTGGAAGCTTATGCACAGGCAACAGAGTACAACTGACAGGACATGGCGGGAAGCACACGACAACTAAGGAAATACAATGCTGAAATGTACTGTTTAAGGTAATACTAGTTACATTATTTCCATAAATACACCAAAATAAAATAGAAAAACACAAAATATACAAGTTGAGGACAAATGCAATAAAAAATTAAAATCTTGTGATGTAAAAAGTGTTTAAAATGCTTCATAAGGAAAATCAAACAGCACAGACTGGGATTAAACAATACAGTATACCAAAGACTTAGGTTAATAAGGATATCACAAGGATAGAGGTCGTTTGTGTACCTATCATTATACAAAACATACTGAAGGTGACTCATCAAATTTGCTTGAAATCAGCAGATAAAATCAATGTATATAGATATTCAACAATTTAAAGTAAATATTCAATGATTTAGAGATTATATCTTTAAATAATGGAAAGAAAATACATACCAAAATGTTGGCATGCAGTACAGCAATCTCCATATATAATGTGTATCTCAGTTACCCAAATACTATGTTTGTTACTGGTAAAAAACGATGCGTCTCAGTGACATGAATGCACCTACTGGTAACCAAAGACAAGTTTGGAACTAGAAAAGTGTTACTGGCTCTGTTAGGTTTACTCATGAAGAATAAAATATAAAATGTTGAAATCAAGTGCCTTCATAATAAATCTCTGGAAATTATTCCAAATTAAAACTGAAGTTCTGTTTACAGAATTTTTTTTTTGGAAATTAAGCGATCTACTTTGGTCTTAGCATTTGGTGAAAATTTAAATGACCGTAACTCTGGAAAAATCAGTCAACCAGAACCAAATCGGAACATGAACTGCCAAATATACAACTACATACCATCTACAGACTGTCCTATATCTGTAGCCATTAACAAGTAAAATGAGAGGTAATGAATGAGACTGATAACCAAGGGTTAATACGGTGGATTATTGCTTTATAAATAAAATATACCCTCAATAAGTAATAGTTGGTAAAGTAAAATAAACATTGTAAGAAATTCTCCAGTTCTAAAGCCAATCAATTCTTTTGTTTTGTTTACCTTTAGATACACTTGATTAAATTTCTCAACACCAGAGAAACTGTTTTCCTCAAACCGATCCTTTTGTTCCCTCAGCAGTAAATGTTTTATATATAATTGAAAAGCAACATTTTATAAAAATAAAAAACAATTGAACACTGAACATTCCTGATTATTCAACATGTTAATATAATACAGTGACAATATAATTAATATTGAGGACTATTTAGCTTCAAACAGCAGATTTAAAGATAATCTTTATATTTCAACAACAAAATAAACATACGTAAAACAACTGGTATAGTGATAAGTCAACAAATAGCCACTTTGGGCTGTAAAGCTCATAATTTTTTAATTTCTTTTTTTTCATAAATTTAATACAAAATTGTACGTTTGCTTCTAACTGGGACAAGTACAAGTATAGGAGTACAGGGTGGCATTGAAACATAGCAATAAGATATGTTCTTGCCATGAAATTGAAGTTGACCATTCAAACAACATTTCAGAATGCTGTGTCATAACAAGAGCAAACATATTCTTGATGTCAGGTTCCCCAATTTAATACTGACTAATAATGAAAAGAAACTTGAACATTCCTTTGCAAAAATAGTGATGATAATATTTAACAAAAATCCAAGATGATCGCCTGGAAATCATTTTTTCTTCTGATAAGTCCCAAAATCAAACAGGCACAACAACGGACCAACAGGAACCTACCTATGAAATTTGAGAGAGATCCATCTCATACTTCTCTAAAAATAGTCATAACAAACTTCATTGAAAAAATCCATGATGGCCACCTGTCTGCCATTTTGTTTTTCTGATCAGTCAAAAAATCTGATCAAGGGGAACATCTATATCTGTAGGAATCATCTGGGTTAACACTATCAGTTCACCTGCCTCTCTGTATCATCAAGGTTAACACTATCAGTTCACCTGCCTCTCTGTATCATCAGGGTTAACACTATCAGTTCACCTGCCTCTCTGTATCATCAGGGTTAACACTATCAGTTCACCTGCCTCTCTGTATCATCAGAATTAACACTATCACTTCACCTGCCTCTCTGAATCATCAGGGTTAACACTATCAGTTCACCTGCCTCTCTGTATCATCAGGGTTAACACTATCAGTTCACCTGCCTCTCTGTATCATCAGAATTAACACTATCAGTTCACCTGCCTCTCTGTATCATCAAGGTTAACACTATCAGTTCACCTGCCTCTCTGTATCATCAAGGTTAACACTATCACTTCACCTGTCTCTCTGTATCATCAAGGTTAACACTATCAGTTCTCCTGCCTCTCTGTATCATCAGGGTTAACACTATCAGTTCACCTGTCTCTCTGTATCATCAAGGTTAACACTATCAGTTCACCTGCCTCTCTGTATCATCAGGGTTAACACTATCAGTTCACCTGCCTCTCTGTATCATCAAGGTTAACACTATCAGTTCACCTGCCTCTCTGTATCATCAGAATTAACACTATCAGTTCACCTGCCTCTCTGTATCATCAGGGTTAACACTATCAGTTCACCTGCCTCTCTGTATCATCAGAATTAACACTATCACTTCACCTGCCTCTCTGTATCATCAGAATTAACACTATCAGTTCTCCTGCCTCTCTGTATCATCAGGGTTAACACTATCAGTTCACCTGCCTCTCTGTATCATCAAGGTTAACACTATCAGTTCACCTGCCTCTCTGTATCATCAGAGTTAACACTATCAGTTCACCTGCCTCTCTGTATCATCAGAATTAACACTATCAGTTCACCTGCCTCTCTGTATCATCAAGGTTAACACTATCAGTTCACCTGCCTCTCTGTATCATCAGGGTTAACACTACCAGTTCACCTGCCTCTCTGTATCATCAAAGTTAACACTATCAGTTCACCTGCCTCTCTGTATCATCAGAATTAACACTATCACTTCACCTGCCTCTCTGTATCATCAGAGTTAACACTATCAGTTCACCTGCCTCTCTGTATCATCAGAATTAACACTATCAGTTCTCCTGCCTCTCTGTATCATCAGGGTTAACACTATCAGTTCACCTGCCTCTCTGTATCATCAAGGTTAACACTACCAGTTCACCTGCCTCTCTGTATCATCAGGGTTAACACTATCAGTTCACCTGCCTCTCTGTATCATCAAGGTTAACACTATCACTTCACCTGCCTCTCTGTATCATCAGGGTTAACACTATCAGTTCACCTGCCTCTCTGTATCATCAAGGTTAACACTATCAGTTCACCTGCCTCTCTGTATCATCAGGGTTAACACTATCAGTTCACCTGTCTCTCTGTATCATCAAGGTTAACACTATCAGTTCTCCTGCCTCTCTGTATCATCAGGGTTAACACTATCAGTTCACCTGTCTCTCTGTATCATCAAGGTTAACACTATCACTTCACCTGCCTCTCTGTATCATCAGAGTTAACACTATCAGTTCACCTGCCTCTCTGTATCATCAAGGTTAACACTATCAGTTCACCTGTCTCTCTGTATCATCAGGGTTAACACTATCAGTTCTCCTGCCTCTCTGTATCATCAGGGTTAACACTATCAGTTCACCTGCCTCTCTGTATCATCAAGGTTAACACTATCAGTTCACCTGCCTCTCTGTATCATCAAGGTTAACACTATCAGTTCACCTGCCTCTCTGTATCATCAAGGTTAACACTATCACTTCACCTGCCTCTCTGTATCATCAAGGTTAACACTATCAGTTCACCTGCCTCTCTGTATCATCAAGGTTAACACTATCAGTTCACCTGCCTCTCTGTATCATCAGGGTTAACACTATCAGTTCACCTGTCTCTCTGTATCATCAAGGTTAACACTATCAGTTCACCTGCCTCTCTGTATCATCAGGGTTAACACAATCAGTTCACCTGCCTCTCTGTATCATCAGAGTTAACACTATCACTTCACCTGCCTCTCTGTATCATCAGAGTTAACACAATCAGTTCACCTGCCTCTATGTATCATCAGGGTTAACACTACCAGTTCACCTGCCTCTCTGTATCATCAGAGTTAACACAATCAGTTCACCTGCCTCTCTGTATCATCAGAGTTAACACAATCAGTTCACCTGCCTCTCTGTATCATCAGAGTTAACACTATCAGTTCACCTGCCTCTCTGTATCATCAGAGTTAACACTATCAGTTCACCTGTCTCTCTGTATCATCAAAGTTAACACTATCAGTTCACCTGCCTCTCTGTATCATCAAGGTTAACACTATCAGTTCACCTGCCTCTCTGTATCAGAATTAACACTATCAGTTCACCTGCCTCTCTGTATCATCAGAGTTAACACAATCAGTTCACCTGCCTCTCTGTATCATCAGAGTTAACACAATCAGTTCACCTGCCTCTATGTATCATCAAGGTTAACACTATCAGTTCACCTGCCTCTCTGTATCAGAATTAACACTGTATCATCAAAGTTAACCAGTTCACCTGCCTCTCTGTATCATCAGGGTTAACACTATCACTTCACCTGCCTCTATGTATCATCAGGGTTAACGCTATCAGTTCACCTGCCTCTCTGTATCATCAGAATTAACACTATCAGTTCACCTGCCTCTCTGTATCATCAAAGTTAACACTATCAGTTCACCTGCCTCTATGTATCATCAGGGTTAACACTATCAGTTCACCTGCCTCTCTGTATCATCAGAATTAACACTATCAGTTCACCTGCCTGCAGGAATGAACGTCAATACTGTCAGTGCATCACAATATTTGTCATTATTATAATTTTTTATAACCCTTTTCTGTGGTTTCTTACATATTAGTAATTTTTATATATTTCACATAATTATATTCATAAATATTCACTTCCGCAGGATTAGATCACACAATTTTTATCACAAATACAAAAATGATCCTATAACATAAAATCTCCAGTGAATGAAGCTGATATTGTTCTCTAATCATAGCTAAGTGAAACATGAAGGAATGATGAAATTTTCTGATTAGAAAAAAATAACTCTAATAATTTCTAAACAAGCATCATGAGTCAAGTCCCCCGAAGCAAAAGTCGGGGCAGATGGACCACATTATAAATGGCATATCTATCAGACAAAAAGCTTGGCTATATAGACATAGTACTGATTAACCAACAGATCTTATAAAACAACATCGATATACAGTTAAAACTAAGTTTGGTATATTTTGTAAAAATAAAAAGCCAACAATGAACATGTTTGATTTAAAATAAAACAGTTTACATTACTCTTAATTAAATTATATCGTTACAAAGTTTGTTGTTAAAGCTTGCAAGTTGATGACTTACACATACCTCACCACTGTAAATCACTAAACCCTTCCTTAATACTTGTACTGCCATAGGAGTATTTGGTTACATTATATTTTTCATATGTAAAAAAATAACATGTACATTTTAACACTTGATAACCGACATTCACACACTTCATCTCTGTGGTCTCCACAAATACTTTATAAGGCCAGTCACACAGGCAGACATTGGAATATAAATTTGATTACATAGTGTTAATGATAAATGTTACTTAAAATACCTCATTTTTATTTACAAAAAGATATTTTCTATTCAGATTTATTTCTGCTCTGAAGCAACTGTGACTGCAGCAGCCTTAAGTGCCTGGTCGAGGTATTCCATAAAGCGGTGTATATCCTGGAATGAGCAGTATAGAGGGGCTGGTGATATCCGGATCACAGATGGCTTCCTCTCATCACACTTCAATACAGAGAAATAGAATATAGTATACCTAATATACCAAACTTGTAATGATGAGAAACAGAATGTTGTACATGTATAACTAATAATACACAAAGTCTTGTAATAGTGAAAAATAGAATCTTCTATTCTCAATAAAACACTTGTATTGGTGAGAAACAGGATTTAGTATACCTTACAATTTACTTGTATTAGGAAGAAATGGAATTATTTTATTATGTACACTTGTATTGGTGTGAACCAGAATGAAGTATACCTATTGAAACAAGAGTGCCGTGGACACAATATACGCCGCTACAAAATCAAGATCAAGAAAAACCGTAAAATTGCCCCTTCATGCACATCTACCCATTGTAGTAGTTACATTGAGCAAGTTTCATGAAAATCTGATGATTAGTTTAGGAGGAGTTACGTTCACAAGAAATGGACGTACGAACAGACATACAGACGGACGTACATATGGACGGACAGACGGAGAAGATGACGCAAATATATGACCACCTCCGGCGGTGTATAAATTTAAGCGAGTATGGCCCACCATAGATATAACACCTTTATTGTATTCTCCTGATCTAAATCTAATGAGAGGTTAATCTATAGGTTTCATTAAAAGATATCTTGTACACAAGCATTTATTTTAAGCTTAATTCACAGTGACTTATAACCTTGACCAATAACCACACAAATCTACTGATAATGTGAAACTATGGTTTGAAAATTAAGTAAAACTGTTTAGAGGCTTATGTATAATATAACTTGTACATTAGCTTTTTATTTCCAAAGTGGTCAATGGTGACCTTTGACCTTTAACCTTGACCAATGTGTAGACTTTGTTGGGGTGAAGATTATAGTGTGACCACAAAGTAAAATTATCATGGGGTTCACCAGATATTTTACATACAATGCTTTTATTTCAGAAATGTTCTGGGGTGACCTTTGGTGATTAACTTTGACAGATATTGATGACCATAAACATGTTTAGAGCAAGATGGGGTGATCCTATGTTGGAAATATGAATTAAATCTGTTCAGAGGTTTATGAGACATCATGTGTTATTTCAAAAATTTCATTCATCAAAAATTAATTGAAGAATAAAATTATATTAATTTCTTTCTATGATATCTTGATACAAAATCATCAGCTGAGTTACTTACAATTACTCCCCTTTTCTCCAGCTCTTTGAAAACATAAGAAATGTCAACAGAGAATGAGAGTGATAGTTGGGCCCCACGCTGCTCTGGGTCAGAAGGAGTGAAGATGTGTACATGTACATGTTGGAAGTCTCTGTCTACCTGTTCCACGGTATTTCCTGACATCTCATTGGTCAATCCATACCTCTCTGTTATACGATATTCCAGGTAAGCTGTCAATAGTTTGGACTTAGCACGTATTTCCTCCATAGATGTTTTGTTGAATATCTAGGCAATTAAACCATTTTCAAATCAGAAAAACACAAAACAGTGAAGCTCACAGTACGTCAAAATACTTAATCAAAAATAAAACTGAAGTTATTTACATGTATTGCTCCAAATTATATTTACAGGATCGTGAGATGATTTACAGAATCAAGGAAGAAAAGGATTGTTTTAATAGTGTTTATGTCAATTGTTTTGACTTTAAAGGGTTAAACATGAAACATCACAAATTATTTTTAATAGCAAACTAAAACAAGAATATAGATTGATACAATTCTTACACAAGTTTGTTGGTCATGCAAGACATAATCCTACACGATTCTGTAAATCTTCTTACCAATCCTAATGTATTTATGTTCTCACACGCACACCCCTAATGTTACTGGGCATCGGGGCGGCCATTACATAGATAAAATGTTTAAAAAAAAGCTAGAATAAAAATCTGTGTTCTTTATAAACCATAAGCTGCAGTAATATCACATTCTACTCATGTTTACTTGCAAACAATAGTAAGAAAGGTTATGACTGAATGTTGTAAAGCATTTCATTTCAAGCTAACATCTGAATGTCAGCTGTAACAGATTGCAGCCCTTGAATTGAACGGTAAGTATATGTCCTATATGTAAAAGGGACTACCTTATATAGCAATTACATTTACTGGTAAGCATACTATGGATTATAATGAACAAACTTTAATGTTCATTTAAAAATAAATTCATGATCACTAATTCAGAACTTGAACTGCTTATCATTATTACACAAATATACCAAATTTCAGTTCTAGGGTCAAGGACCATGTAAATTTTCTCAACAATTTTTTTGTAGAAGTCATGAAATGGACTATCGTTTTCTCAGTTTAAAATTTCATTAGTAGTTTTACCTCAAGGCTTGCTTTGATTGGTGGACAAAGAAGGCCAGCAGGATTACTGACTCTGTAACCATAAGCTCCTGGGTGTAGATCTAACTCTGATGAAATAAAGAAAAATACTAATTAATCATGGTTATACATCCAAACAGGACAATATCTGTGTTACGAATTAATCCTGTGTATATATCTAACATTGGCTGATGAATTTGCTGAAGTTGTCATCCTGACCTTTGACCTTTGATTTGGAACAAGCAACTTTGGGAGAGATAGGACAGACCATCATTGTTAACACTATAGGTCTGCCATTCCCATCTCTATAACATGGTAGGAGTATAATAAGACCAAATCATGAATCGCACTTAATACGTAGTTATTTCTATTTTGAATTAAATAATAAGAGTTTTAAATCCTGAAAAAATTATACCTTAATTTTGTCATGTTTGATAAAGTTTTTTCTATTGAAATTTATAATTTTACTACAAACTGCTACAGCATTCATCAAAATAGCATCATTGTGGTCATAACAGTCTTTACTAGGCAACTTCAAAAATGGCAATCTTTCTGCCATTTTTTTTTCCTGATCAATACCAAAATCAAAAACAACTAGGGTTTAAGGGAAATCTGCAAATTGGAGAAATATCTATTCAGTACCTCTCAAGAAATATTGGTAACAAACTATCGAAGACAAAGTCAAAGAGGGCCACCTGTTGGCCAGTTTATTTTCTGATCAGTCATAAAATCAAATGAGCACAACTAGAGACCAAGGGGAACCTGCATATGAAATTTAAGAAAGATCCATTCACAACTTCTCAAAACATAGCAACAACACACTTTCAAATTAAAAATCCAAGATGGCTGTCCGTCAGCTATTTTGTTTCTCTGATAAGTCCCAAAAATCAAACAGGTTCAACTTGGGAGCAAGGGAAACCTACATATGAAATTGGAGGGAGACCCATCTAGTACTTCCCAAAACAATCTTGATAACAAATGTTGTTTACGGAAGGACGGACCATGGATGGGCAGACCACATATCACTGATGTAGGGCGATTTGAATAGCCCAACATCTGATGATCGTAGGTTATGAGGTAAAAATTATGTATTACATTCACAATTTTTCAGGAAAAGCTAAATTATAAATAACATGACTAGAAAGATTTTGAGCATTGAACATCTAGCATTTTTTTTTTAATACAAGTACGTACAAATATTCACATTATCTGCTTTAAATGGCAGCATGAAATTGTGTCAATTGTACATGCATTAGCAAAAAAAAGGTTGGAACTTTGATATTTGTGTGTACATTAAATTCTCACAGTATAAAAACCAATTGTTAATAAAATGCAAATGATGATCACTTTTGTTTAGAATTTGAAATTTTGAAAATTATCTGTAAGGGAGGTAGAACTGGCAGATTTGTATTCATCACCATGTTTTGTGGTATCAAATACATATGCACAGAGGTAATGTTTGTACATATGTCGCTCAAGCTGTTGTCTAAACAGTAGAGACCTCTAAGACAGTCTGTTGTGTTAATTTTGTAATTACCTTAAGGTCAGAAAAGTTACAAATGACCATTTAACATTATTATAGTTTATATGAAGGATAAATAGTACCATCAGTTACATAACACATAACATTCATTCAGATTTGCTGTTATCTGTCTGGAGGGGTTTGTTAGGATACAACGGAGTCACATAAAAATACCCCTATCCACCCAGTACCACTTCAATTATTGTGATAAAAAATTTCATTTGAAATGGTCTTCAAAGTAAATACCTTTTAAAACATAACTGAAAATGTAACAATAAATCATGACATTTTTCACACAAAATGAAATAACTTGGTTACAAGTAATTGCAGTTATTTTAGATATATAGGATTTGAAACAATCCCAACTTCCAACTCCGCCTACCTCATTAACATATGCATATTCACCAAACTAAAATGAAGGGGGTGGAATAAGCTTCATCTATGTGTAGAGGGAAAAGTGAAACTGCGAGATAAAGCTTTATTGCATCATTTTGACAGAAATATGAAATTATGAAAAATAATTACCAACACCTTTTGAAGTTATATCTTCAAAATTTATCATTCTTTAATGATGCTTTCAATGACAGATATTTTTTTTTATTTGTGAGATAAATAAACCTATTGTCTAGGCTCTATCCTCCTGATGCTGTTGGAATACATACCATTATTCATCTCGAACCTTGTGTCAAATCTGTGTCCCCACCAGCCCAGCAACTTAGGGAAGTCGTTGTTTTTATGTTTCTCATGAAGGAAGATGCATGCCAAACAGCCAGCACTGGAGTTTATATACTACAACAAACCAATAAATTAGAACTTCAATCCTGACTAGTAAAAAGGAAATGACAAAATGTTCATTTATTTCAATACATATTGAACTGATACCAAATAACGAGTTTTTCATCAGTGTGTGATTTTTCATATTTTCATGAAAAGATTTGAAGGTCATTACTGCATTGACAAACTTTAATGAAGAAGTAACACTACGTAACTACTGCTCTTAGATGGCAAAAACTTGACATGGCTAAAATTAGACATTCCAAGAAGGGCACCAAATTTCAAAATTCTGTTCACGCCCTAAAAAATATGCTGGATAGAGGTGCTGCCTAATATCATAGAGATTTAATCTATTTCAATTCAAGAACAATGTTAGAATTTGTTTCGTTTTTTGTTTTGCTGGATTTATCACCTTGTGAACAGGCAGGGTCATCTTATAGTAGCTAACCCACTGAACAACATTGGGCAAAGTATCTTGCTGCAGTAAACAACATGAGCACAAATCAGTCTGTTTCCCAGATTTCTACGTTACATAAACTGCTACTGGTAGGGAGCTTTACACTACACAGTAAAAGTAGAAAGTGTATCTCAGATCTTACATAGGACAACGCTCCAACCAGTGTACTATATCAGACACCTGTGTGGGCAAAATATACACACATGTTCGCACGAGGGCATAAACAATCTAATCGCAGTGAATGATGTTATCTTTGATGGGTTCTGTTTTTTCTAGGTTGGAATTATACCGCGAAAAACTGATACTGAGAAAATTGATGAAGAAGACAATAGTCTCATGACTTTCGAGAAATCTCTTTTGGATTAATTGAACCATCGTTAAAAACTATCTTAATAGTCTATGTTCTTACCTTGTAAGTACACCAGCAAGCAAAATCAATCTCCCAGTCATGTAGGTACAGAGGAACATTTCCAGCAGCATGGGCCATATCAAACCCTACATAACATCCCTGAAATATGTCCAGGCCTTATGAAGCCAATCATAAGATAAATCAACATATAACACGTAAGGTACAAATCACAAATTCCTGGTGACATGCATGTATGAAATAAGAATATTTGTGAAACTGATGAATGCTCCCCAAAAAAGACGATATTGAAAACAAAATCTTAACCATTGGTAATAATTCTGCAATTAAGGGGTTATAGACCCTGAATTAAATACACTACACTTTGTACAAGCAATGTAAATGCCAAGTTTTATTGTCCTACCTTAAGTAATAACAAAGTTATGTTCTGGAAACAAAAGGTTTAAGTAAGGGCAATAACTCTGTAATTAAGGGGTCCTGCAGGCCTTGTATTTTGTACACATCCTCCTAGTATGACCAATCTATACACCAAGTTCATTATCCTACTGTTAATGCTCATGACACAAAATTTTAAGAAATTAAGAAAGGATTTGATGTAATACACATCCTCTTAATACGACCAACATAAAATCACATTTCATTTGCCTGCTTTAAATACAAGTAATGTTATGATCTGCACACAAAATTATAACAAAGGGCAATAACTTTGTAACTAAGGGTCTGCGAGGCCTAAACATTGGTGAACTGCACATTTTCTTTGTATAACCATTGTATACAACAAGTTTCATTACCCTAGTTACAATGCAAGCAAAGGGCAATAACCCTGTATTTAAAGAGTATCAGGCCCTGAATTTTAAACACTGCACATCATATCAGTATGGTTAATGTATACACCAAGGTCAATATCCTGTTGTAAATACACGTAAAGTGATACTCTGGACACAACATTTTAACAAAGGGCAATAACTCTGTAATTGAGGGGTGGAGAGTGCTGAATTTGGTACATACAACAGTGCTTAGTATGATCAATGTACACAAGAAGTTTCTTTATCATAGCTTTAAAGCAAGCAAAGTTTTGCAAAAGGGCAATAACTCTATCAGTAAGGAGTTGTGGGCCCTGAATTTTAAGACACTCTACATTATCTTTGTATGATTAATGTATACACCAAGTTTCAATAGCTTGCTGTAAATACAAGAAAAGTAATGTTCTGGACACAAAATTTTAGTGGAGGGCAATTATTCTGCAACTGAGTGGGGGACAGCCCTGTATTTGGTACACTGCACATTGCTTTATTATGATCAATGTATACACCAAGTTTCATGATCTTAACTCAACTATGCACAAAGTCATGCTTCAGACACGAAATTAATGGACAAAGTGACATCAACATGATCCGACCAAAAATTTTTAAGGAGCATAACGAAATGATAGTAAATTGAAAACATTGAAGACTCCATTTCACAATAAAAACAAGAGTCTGAGGGCCTTAACAGTCTTCTGAGTTACAATGTCACTTGTTATAGAAATGATTCTGTTCAAAAATGTAAGACAACTATAACTACATGATACAAATAATGTAAATTTAAACTATGCAAAACATTAACTGCTGTCCCATGCGAGGTCACCCTAAGACTTTGACTAAGATGACCTAACAAAGCGAGCTGGGGCTCACTTAGATAAACTCCTGTCTCTGAGTCAGGAAGTAAGTGCTCAACTTTAACCTTTACGAATGACCACTAAAATCTAATTGGGTATAGCCCTTGGTGGCATGATACTAAGGGATGAACATGAACCAGATCTGTTCAAAGTTTCATAAGATACATGTATATATCTTGTACACCATGTTATCACGTGCATGTCCACACCCATGTTACACCTGTTACTGAAGTTGGGGTATAATAAAATGCAAAATAATGCAAATTCATTATTACAGATATATTTTGATTTTAATCTGAATTCTAGTTGTAAATGGCTTAATTTCAATATAATTTTCCCTGCAAGGAATCCTAATTTTATTAATGACGATTTTAGGGTATAAAATTTGGTATAGTTCCTCCAAACCAAATACAAATTACGTCATTGTGTGTCTTCAATATTTCTACAAACCTTGGCATGGCCTGCACGTGTTATTGCCTCCATATCCATCAACTGTCCTGTGTAGTAGTGAACACCACTAAAGCAGATAACAGCAATAGAATCTCCCTCCTCCTCTATCTTAGCTAGAATGTCCTCCATCCTCAGAGTCATCTCCCCCTGAAATAAAGTACTACCATTATCAAACTTTGTGTCAGGATTATGAATAATGACAGTCAGTGGACAAAACAACCCCTCACAGTAAAATTTCTACAGATCTACATCAGCATAATGAGAGCCATTACACAGAGCTTTCCATTGTTAAGGCACAGCTTGCCATATTTTCAAAACATAAATAAATAATATTTTTCACTAAGAATTGTATTGTGAAATTATCAATTTTCGTTGAAGATCTATTTCTGTTGATTTTTTGTGTCCTCTGAATTTGAAAACTGCTAAAGTAATTATAAGTAGATTTATTGAGCGACTATTTGCCATGAAAATTGAGACCCACATAAACATGTGATTTTACAGTATTTCCTAGAGGCATAGATTGTTTAAATTTATCCCCTTTAAAACCAAGTCACATTCAGAACCACATAATCCTATAAATTAATAACAGAGAAATTTGAAACTGAGTGGCACATTTTTGAAAACTGTTAATGGGAGATAAACACACATATGTGAGGAAATGATAGGACTTTCTCTAACATAAAGGTAAAATAAACATAGGATCCCAGAGGGATCTTGGCACCCAACATTGTATTATCTTATTGATTCTATGTAATTCAGATCTTTCCCTTCTTTTATCTTCTTTCATATTTGCCTTTAATTATTTCTTGTTCTAATAGGAGTATTAATTATACAAAACATCATTACACTAAGAATGACACTTGTCTTTATGATTAGTGCTTAAATAGATAATGAGGAACCTTGATATGAAATTTGAGAAGGATCCCTCTAAGACTTTTCAAGAAATAGGAATAATAAAATAAAACAAACAAAATCTAAGATAGCTAGCAACCTGTCAGCAATTTTGTTTTTTCTGATCAGACAAAAGAATAGACAACTAGGGACCAAGAGAAGTCTACAAATCAAATTTGTCCATTCAGGACTTCTCCACAAAACAACAACAACAAAAATGATAACAATAATTGCTAAAATAAGGATGGAAGGATGATGGATGACGAAGTGCAATTTGGACATCTAATGATGGTTGGCTAAAAATCTCCATCCGACGAGATTACTGACTATCTAACTTAAGGCTGATAGCTTCATGTTTTTTTTTCTGTATCCTTACATTCTGACTTACCTCCCTTGGTTCAACACAGAGTAAACTGCTCTCTGGATCATACCCATGAAGGTTTATCTGACTTTGGAATGTGTACTGCAAACAGATTTTTAACCATTTATTACACCTTCATCTGTTATCTTATTACTACTGATTATGTATACTAACAGTATCATTATCCAGCTTGTGATCTTACAGTAAAACGATGTACTAATTACCAGACCTGGGCTTTTCGATGGTAATACATCTGCATTAAACTTACAAAATGCTTAACTCCAACAATATTACAATAGTAAGGAGCTAAAATAAACTCATAAATGAACAATACGAAATGTTTTCTTGGGATTGATAAACATGTAAATAGATTTTTAAAAATTAAAATTGTTAAACTTAGTGTTGAATAAAGAAACTTACATGATCAGATGGAAATGCTTTACCCTCGCACATAATCTTGTGACGTTTCGGTGTTGGGCGATAAAAAGATATCTGTAATAAAAAACCAGTAACACTGTCGTTCAGGAAATGTTTCAAAACTGGGTTTCCACTTAGTTAAAAGTAACCATTGTGATTCTTTCTGCCAGCTCTATTCACAGTGTAGTGTTATACAACAAAAGCAACTTTTACTTAAGATTAAACGTATGAAACATAATAGATAGCATCTTTCCAAAGAACACAAATTTCAAATAATGAATAATTAAAGATGTAGGTTTTTCAGTCAAAAAAGAAAGAATTTAAAAATTTCAAATTCAGATGCATTCCTCAGGCTATTTTTATGTCAGCATTATGTTAAAGTATATTCATAAGTACAGAAATTATCTCTACTGTATGTAGCTTTCATGAGGCCCAAACCGTTTCCCATCCTTCACTTACAAGTAGCAAATGAAGGTTGACTGTAAGTCCATTCATTATAGCTACCTCCCCTGGTCTTCCCCCTGTTCATCAAAACAAAAAACATATATCATTATGCCATAATGGTTATCTCCCCTGGTCTAACCATTTTTGGAACATACCAGCCAGATATCATGCCTACTGAAAATGTAGTGCATGAAAAGAAGTTGTTTAAAGGTTTTAACAAATTTGGCAACTGTGACCTTGAATATAAGTCAGGGTCATTTATTTTTGTGAATTTTGTCAATCTTCATGTTAGGAAAATACTGTCTAAAGATCATGTCTCTAGGCCTTCTAGTTCATGAGAAGAAGTCATTTAAATGTTTTAACAAATTTGACCCCTGTGATTTGAATGTTAGTCAAGGTCATTTCTTTTTGCAAACTTTGTCAGGCTTCATCCTAGGAACATAACAGCCAAATATCAAAAAAACAATTTATCCTATGATTATATATCGGTCCAGGATTGACCTTCACAATTCTACCCTTGAAAATAAAAACAAAGATATTACTAACCAGTTTTTACGGTAATATAGAAAAGTGAACATGCAGAGAGACACATGCCCTGAATTAGGAGGAACACTCACCAACAAGTTTTGCCATATCACCATCCAGGCACTCATCACATTTTGCCCATGGCATTCCCTCTCCCTGGAGGTGACCCTGAACACCCCTAACAATATACAGAACATAAAAGTTATATTCTCTTAATTCATCATGTCTTTGTTACAAGCCAAAAAATAATGATCACTTTCGATAGAAATCAGCAAATTTATTTGAAATCACATTATAAGAATTAAAAATGTTCCATTGCTCGTCTGTTTATCTCCATCACTGTAAATTTGAGTGTGTCTCTTTCAAAAAATTTTTTGTAGTATAATTAAAATTTTGCAAACAATTTTCTGTATTTAAACGGGATCATTCTCATCATAAAAAAAGAATATCAGACATCGCTATTCCATGTTGATATTCCTAGTTCCTTGAATACCGCAAGGCTGAAATATTCTATTCCATTACGCTTAATAAAGAAATGAAAACCTCACAGGTGAAATGATAAGAAAATTATAAAGTTTTACATTTTTGCCCACTTGTCAAGTTCAACATCCATATACTTCTTGGTGTTTTTTGGACACAGGCCGAGGGAGTTTCCACAGAAGTACACGCAGTCCTCCTCTGGATCCACCAAACTTAAGTCAGCTTCAATGGGAAAAATGTTCAACTGTGGCTTACTTGAGATATATAAAAAATAATTTTTCATGGTTGAGAAAAGAAATTTTTTTTTCTTCATAAGTTTTTCACTTACCTCAGTGCTCATCTTGGTTTATCAAAAAGGTAGGACTATATTATGATAGCCTTTGTTTGGTTTTCTTCATATGACATTAGGTAAGCTTCAACTTACTCGCATTGAACGACAGAAATTGTATGATTGATTTCTTATCAATCATCATTGGATTTGATTTCTATATTATCAATTTTAATTGTTGAAGTCAAATGTCAAAGAGCAAATAATTTTCCGATCTTTTAATCAATATAAAGATTGAAAGTTCTTACTTCCAAGTACCTCCTTCATTTTTGGGTAGTGGAAATCTCGTCTAAGGCTGCTCAGGGGGTCAATACTATCCATATGCTTTGCAAATTGGCTGTCCGTCATGTCACAATTAAGCTCTTTAGCGATTCGTTTGAGTTCATCACATGGATGTGTAGCCTCAAACTTTCCTTTTTTTCTGTTTGGAAGACATTTCTCATCATCAGACATGATTTCTGAAATTTGAAAAAAAAAAAGGAAAAATAGTTTTCACCATCTGTTTACATGATAACATAATCATGATTTATATAGATACAACAATAAATAATGCCATGTACTCAGTCTTTGAACTTCTTCCTGTATTCCCTGCATGGTGTTTCCCAGTGGTGGTATTCAGTAGATTCTGGCTGCTGTTTAAGTTGTTTTCAGTCAAAACTAGATATGTCCACAAGGTCATGAATATTCTACTAGCTCTACCAAGCAGCTTAATATATACAAAAGATCTTCTAAATTTGTGTTATTTTACATTATTATAGAATTTTAATTGACATCTATACATATATATCATGTTTCTATTTTCGTTTATTACATACAGCTGTATCACAAAAAACAATAAAGTTTTTAATTTGACATATTTTTAAGCTTGACTATTTTTATAATGTTATGACAAGATCCAGGTCATGGTTGATGATAAATGGCATCACACCAGCGATGTGGTAGATATCCTAAATATAGGATAATGTAATATTATCCTGTGACCAGAGGTGTCAACAATAATACACATTGTCTGGTTTTACATGACCTTTGACCTGTCCCCATATCAAGGAAAGATAAGTTATGAATATCTATATAATGTTTATTTGAATTAACCAAGTCCGACTCTATAAACTAAAAATAGAAACAAAACAAAATTATAAAAGCTCATAAAAGTTTGAAATGATTTATTTTTTGGTTTATAACAAAAAGAATCCTATCAGTCATATAACTCAAACATCTTCATCATAGAGTAGAAGTTTGTGAACTGTGTGGCTAATATATTAAATGCTAAAGCACAAAAACTTGTGTTCTATAGACTTTTGTCAGCATTCATTCAATACAACTAGCCAGAAGTTCTTTCAAGAATTCACAACTATCAGTTCATGAAATCTGGATTCTGATATTCATCTATTCAACAAGAACTTAAAAGTCACCGACAACAATATTTTCCATGTCTCTATATAATTTGACATAGATGTTACTTGGTAAGTACCTTGAACCCATTTCCACTTTTCAGTTCAGTTGTAGCTGAGTTCAGTTACAGGTGTGTTTGATTACCTGTCCATATTTTGGCTTTTTTCAGGTAGTTTTCAGGAATCTTCTGTACGCAAAATCAGTGACGTTATTTCTACCAGGCAGTAGTGACTGGTTTTAACACAATGGAAGTCACATATAATATGTATGACAGATAGGTAATCTACGTGTTAGTATCATTTAAGGATTAACTGTAATACTTTTTTTACGTTATTGAGGCATAACACAAAAAAACAGGATGTACTCTTAAGTAACCACGATCAACCAATCAGAATCCTTGGTTTTCAGAAAGGAAATCTCTAGATGGTAGAAATTGTGCTACCTGTACATTCTGCGATACACAGATCACTTTCTTAAGACATTATCTAATGACTTTCCACAAAAGACCAACTTTATATTTTCACTGACGATGACCTTTAAAAATTTCTTAGAATTATTCACAAACTTATTATTGCAGGGAAAATCCCAGGAGCTGAGAGCAACATTTTCCGCAAGTTTTAGTAAATACTGTATCAGTAATGAGGGCCTACCGATAAACAATAAAAATACTATGAAGGAGTCAATATCAGCTTTGAGGGGTACACTCAGCCCCTTTGCCTCCTCTGGGGTTAATCTTGTTTGAATTTCCTAAGGAATTTCTCGTTAATTCAATCATTTTGATTGCCTTTAATTGCATTTGTTAATTTAGAGTATGTAATGTATTGGAGAATTATGCTTGCTGAAAATGTTTAATCTAATCTCAAAGTTCCCATGTCAATAAAAGTTAAACATGTCAATAAAAGCTTAACAGTGTCCATGACAATAAGAAACTTTATGTCTAAATGACCAAAGAAATGTTTTTCTTACATACAGGTGAAAAAAAATCCAGAAAAGACAAAGAGATTTACAAATCACTAAAGCCCATTTAACCCACTAATGCCCTGGATGTTGAATGTTGTATATAACCTTTCAGTTAGACCCTCAATTTAAAGATACTGAAATCTTGTTCTTTGATAATGTCAATTTTTATATATATATACATGTATTTGTATTGCATTGTTTGGTAATTTAAAAAAAAAAGAGAAAAAAAAACACACAAGTTGAAAATGTTAGGAAGTTACCTTACAGGTATTTGGTGCTTCAATATCATATATAAAGTTACTTTATGCCACATTTTTTATTGTCTCTCAATACAGTTAGTAGCTGACGAAGATGTAGGATACTTACCGTACCTGAGAGTAACAGTGGCAAAAGTCAATGATATGAAAATATGCCAAAATACATTAATGGAACTCTAATTTATACACAGCTGTCACACAATATCACATCCAGAATGTAATTCTAACATTAATGATGTACTGTATTATATAGTCATGTTTTTTATGAATTATTATTAGTACAAATATTCCTATGCCATCCAACAGATTCAAACACATGCATTTATTAGTGTTTCTCAATATGTATGATATACTATATGTGGTTTTACATGAATAATTTCTGTGTCATTACAGCAATGATTCTTCATCTGATATCAACATAAAATGACGAATACAAACATTAAGACTGAATTAGAACCAGAAGGAGATCATGTTTAACAATTTAGGTAAAACTTTGTTTTCTGATGCATAACCTTCACATTTCATCAAAAGGATATAAAATTGGTTATTCTATACAATTATTAAATACAAGTGAAAAAAAATTATCAATGAAATTGATGAATGCTCCCCAAAACAACTATATTGAACGAAAAATTGTAATAAAGGGCAATAATAATTTAATAATTAAAGAGGTTCAAGCACTGAATATGGAACACTGCACATTCTTTTAGTATGGCCAATGTATCCTCCAAGTTTCCTTATCCTAGTTTAGATACAAAAGCCTACAGGTAGGTATTACTTGTTCCTCATTCATCCATAAATTATTTCATTTCTATATATTTCAATTCACATAAAACGCAAGACAGAAATTCTTTTAGAAAATTTATTGTAACCATAGTTATAATAGGATTGTTAAATCCCACAGTCTGAAAGTCCACTGACAATCCCTCAGTCTGAAAGTCCACCGACACCAACCCAAGCAATTCCAGTAACATTGTATCTGAATTTTCACAAATTATATTGAAATTCTACAACAGAAACATTAACTTCCTATTCAAGTCATTCCCATAAGTCACGGAAACATTTGGATGAATTTATTGTCTGTTACATACAAGACACAGCAGATCCCAAAAAGTTAAACAAAATGAAAAGTGTCGGTATAAGTAATTAATGATCCCCTTGATGACAAGCACTGAAGACCAAGTTATGCTCTGAGCACAACATTTTAATGAAGGGCACTTTGTATAAACAATGTAAATGCCAAGTTTCAATGTCCTTCCTTAAGTGATAACAAAGTTATGTTCTGGACACAAAAGGTTTAACTAACGGCAATAACTCTGCAATTAAGTAGTTGCTGGCCCTAACATTGGTACTGCACTTTGTATACACCAAGTTTCATTATCCTAGCTAAGTGCAAGCAATTTAAAGGTATGTTCTACTTTGCTCCTCATCTGTCCATAAAATATTTCCCTTCTATATATCTAAATTCAAATAAGAATGCAAGACAGAAATTCTTTTGGAAACTGTAATTAGAACTATGAGACCGTTTTAGCAGTTTATGACTTCCACATTCCATATACTTACAATAAATGATCAAGAATATCTTTATTCGTTGTTTGAATTGTGCTGACACTAAACTTAAATTACGGAGACCAAACTTGCCTTTATTTAAAACAATCCTCGTTATATTGTCAAGGAAATTTTCTCTGACCTTTGTGTATGACAGAGGCTTGTCTAACACATAAAATGACTTCCTTTTGATCAGAAAATTTCCCCACTCTAAATAAAAATTGATTAGATTTACTGTTGATTGTATATCTCTCCTATATATCTCTCAAAGAGCATAACCAGACAAGTTAAACTCCCTGTTGGAGCAATGCAAACTACATTTCCCTGTTTGTCTGTTTTACTTTTGTGTAAACACTGTACTTATTCCCATGTGTAAGTTAGAAAAGGCTAAATCTGACACTGTCAACCACACATATTCACTGAAATGAAAAATTCTGACAAAGCCAACCAGCCATATTGAGCAAATCTGCTGATCTTACTAAACTGTTCACATTGCTAAACTCTTCCACTATTTTCGATGAATGACTTGGTATTAAAGGCGACTTCTTAACAACAGGTTTTGACAACAACCTCTTCATGCCCTCCAACTGGCATATTTCATGTGAAACGGAATTTCATTTCAGTAATAATTACCATAACTTTAGTATGCAAATACAGTACCTACACCCATCTTTGAATCCCAACAACAAAAGATTCAAAAGAAAAACAATCCCGCCCTCCCTACGATCCATGAGCCATCACGGCAGGAACGCAGAGTGATCTCCCTTCCTCTTACCTTTATGGCTGCCGACGAGTGCGGAGGTGTCTGAGCTAAGTGCTTTTCTTACTCCTTCTCTTCGTACTACCATTGTCGTTTGAGTATATTGTTACTCTATTAGTAGTCTATAAACCCATCTCCCAACTTATATTGTGAAATTAAGTATTGTTATTTGTTTATTTTGACCGTATTTCCGGCCGTTTTTTCCTCCACGTATTCGAGTGCGTGACTACTTGTCTCGTTGCTCGGATTTGCGTGAAGTTGGAATTTGTTTTTCTTGCTGCTTTGTCGGCCGTGTTGTACGGCCGTTTTATTTATGCAGTGCAATCTTGCTACGTACGGTAGGCTTTGTGCTCTCGTTCGTAGTTTTTTGATTGTTCGAGAACTTCGTTTCCGGCCGTGTTTTTCCTCCGCGTGTTCGAGTGCGTGACTACTTGTCTCGTCACTCGGATTTTCGTGAAGTTGAAATTGTTTTCTTGCTGCTTTGTCGGCCGTTTTGTACGACCGTTTTCTTTTTTTTGCAGTACAATCTTGCTGCG